AAGTTACTTGCAAGCAACTTAGTTGAAGAAATTTTTTTTCTATCTCTTAACGTTCTCATTTTAGAGTAATTTTTCGGAGTTGACTTAGGGTGTTCCTGGAAAAAATAGTTTTTTAGCAATAACTTTTTTATTTGAAAATTCGCATGAATGTTATCTTCTAGAGACTTTTAAAACTCTTTAAGAAGAATGTTTTATAGCTGAATTTGTTGCCTGAATCTCTTCTAATAAAAAAGATATACTCAAATATAGTAAAAAATATGAATAAATTCAAATTGATTTTATACGAGTTTAAAAAATAACATACCTCCAATTTTTTCATATTATGGAGAATAACATACGCCCTTTCACATGCTACAAAAAAACTTTTTTTTTTGTTTGCCCCAACCAGAGATATTAACATTTGAAAAGTGTATATTTTTAGTATACAAACGTCAATAACTCTTGATCGGCGAAAGATATTGACAAGCTTTGTGCAGCAAAAAATTGCGCCTTCTTAAGATCTAAAAGTTATCTAAAGACACCTCTGCTGAGAAATTCGAAATAAGAAAAATAGAGCAAAAAACCTGTTTTTTAAGAGCCACCCTAACTCAATTCAAGAAAATAGCTCTAAATCGGCCAATTTAAGAGATACAAAAAAATCGTTTTCAACGAAGTTGCTTGAAATTAGCTCAGCTATAACTTTGCCGAAGAATGTATACCTTAATTTATTCAAACAAAAAAGTTAGATATTTGATTAAAATGATAATAAGAACCACCCTAGAATTCATTGTCATAAAAATGAGGGCCTAACTACAAGGAACAACTTTGTAGAAGAGACTTTTAGTCTAAAGTTTCAATTTCAGGCTCAAAACATATCATTCCAGCTAAATCTGCATTCTGTACCACTGTGCAATGCGAAGTTGATTGCTTTCGCATTCAGTTGACTACAGTTACGGAGGCAAACCAGCCTCAGGCTGAAAGCCTCCTGTGGTAGATAGAGTTGGTATAGAATAATAATCATGGTAAATAATGGTAACTAATTATTTGAATACAGGCTGAAAGCCTCCTTAATAAAGCTAAATAATAATAATAATAATAATTTGAATACAAAAAAAAAGAAAGTTGAGTCGTATAGCACCACACTCAAGTTGAGTAAATTTGTGTCAGCGTGTAGTCGTACAATAATGTCACAAACGATTTGAGCATAGTTGAGTCAGGGTGTAGCGTTTATTTGATAATCAATGAAACGCACACATACATGCAATGTGGGAACAAACCGAAGCTTCACTGCTTCGTCTTTGTACATGATTGAATCTTGAATCAGTCATTTAACCAATCTTGTAGTGCACGGTTGTGCGTCTTGTTCTCGGTAGGTCTTTGTTGCGACACATGACCGAAGCTAGAAACCTCGGTCAGGTTACGACACCTCCCTAATAAAGAAAACTTAACTTGACTTGACTACAGTTTCTATGTTTCCAAATTTTCAATGACAAAACCATTTGGATGAATTTCTGCACAAGAGCGTGTGTATTACCAACAATCAATACGAAACTAACGATTTTAAATTGGCTCACTACTTGACTAGCCTATTGGTCCCAAGCAAATCGACTAACGTACCCCATTATAGTATAAATTCCAGTACTACACAATGTTTGTTTTGATTCGCTATGAAAGTTTGACAGATAAATGAGGGGTTAGTGGATTTTCCTATGTTTCGAGGGGTGAATCGATTAGCTTGGGACCGAAGATAGTACCAGAGCTGAGCCAAAAAGTTGAGCTCGTTTCTTCGGGACCTTCTAGTCTTAGAGTTACCTCTATGGTATTACCAACAATCAATACGAAACTAACGATTTTAAATTGGCTCACTACTTGACTAGCCTATTGGTCCCAAGCAAGCGATTAACGTATCCCATTCTAGTCGAAATTCTAGTACTATGCAATGTTTGTTTTGATTCGCTATGAAAGTTTGACAGATAAAATGAGGGGTTATTGGTTTTTCCTATGTTTCGAGGGGTGAATCGATTAGCTTGGGACCGAAGAGAGTACCAGAGCTGAGCCAAAAAGTTGAGCACATTATTTCGGGACCTTCTAGTCTTAGAGTTACCTCTATGGTATTACTTTCGACTGATGAATGAATATTAACATATGTTTCGTATGTGAACCATTTACAGAGCATATGCTAGGTATAATGGATAGTTTTCAGCTCAAAACAGAAAGAATTTATTTTGCAAATGCACCATGACTAAAATCAATCGATACTTGTCATATAATCGCTCGTATTCTAACTTTCTAACATTCGAAAGAAACATGGTTACCCGCATAAACGCGAACCATAAATTGACCTTACCAAAAATGGTTAAAAATTGTTTATAATCCCTGCTAAACTTCAACTGAAATGGTTATGGAACTTTACAAGAACGTTTAATGATAAAGTTTTAACCTTATGTATTATGGTTTTTTGGAAGCGGATCTTACAAATAATGAGTTGTTAAGAACCATTACCATTCAAAATTCTTGTTTTCTCCATATATTTTCGGGAGGAGGACTATATTAGAACCTTCTAACTTATGGTTTGAGAACATCAATCGCACGTCTAAAGAAGAGAAATCGGTGCATTTCAGAGTAGTCAACAACCTCTGGAATAATTAGATGGAGATTTAGCCATGCCACCCCTGCTATAATGTCATCCTGCCCAGAAAGTCCAATGTTTTTTTTTTTTTGCAAATAAATATAAATAAAAATATTTGAAATGAATCTTACCATTCGAGATCAATAATCATTCGAGAGACATATGAACACTGTTCATTGAACAGTACACTGAAGTCTTTTTTCACACGGTTTTTACGTGGTTTTTTTTTACATTGTTTTTTACACGGTTTTTCGCGATTTACACGGTACGTTTTTAACGATTTCTCAACGATACAACCTATCGACTTGATTTCAATCATATTATCCGTTTCAAGCTATAGATAATCGAATGTCATACTAAAAAAATCACAATTTTTGGTGTAAATACAGATTTTTTTAAATATGTCTAAATTGACCATAGCATGCTATAATTACAAATGGCATCAAAATCCGATTTTTTTAAAACATTTAAGCATGTGAAAAATCAAAATCTCGTAGGTTGTTTTTACTGGTTTTTTTTTCACGGTACATATCCCCCGAGTAAAAAAAGACCTGAGTGTATTTCACTATTAAATTATTTTTCGTTTAATTAACGTCTACGTAGACTTTCAAAAATTGAACTGAAATCATCCAATATTAAGATGACAAGCATCCGAATTGGTTTGCTATGAATCGAATGACGATCATCTCAATATCATCTGATAAGTGATATAGGGCTTGGGTAAAACGCTGTACAGACTGGAGAGTTATAACAACAATCAATACGAAACTAACGATTTTAAATTGGCTCACCACTTTAGTAGCCTATTGGTCCCAAGCACACGATTAACGTACCCTATTCTAGTCGAAATTCTAGTACTACGCAATGTTTGTTTTGATTCGCTATGAAAGTTTGGCAGATAAAATGAGGGGCTATTGGTTTTTACTATGTTTCGAGGGGTGAATCGATTAACTTGGGACTGAAGAGAGTACCAGAGCTGAGTCAAAAAGTTGAGCACGTTATTTCGGGACCTTCTAGTCTTAGAGTTAAACGCTGTACAGACTGGAGAGTTATAACATGTTATAACGGTTGTCAAATAATTGCAACACAGAAACCACCATCAAGATAGCGCTATAACATGTTATAACTCTGTAGTCTGAACGTACTATTACCTCTATGGTTGATATAACATGTTATAACGGTTGTCAAATAATTGCAACACAGAAACCACCATCAAGATAGCGCTATAAATTACAAAGAAATTTCTGATCAAATCACAAAACTGACATCTGCCGCCGTGTTCGCGAAAAATATGTATCCTAGCCACGAACACACGTACAAAATTAATGAGTTCGAAATTAAAAGAAATTTAGTATGGCATCTTTATAGATTACTATCATATGACCGATGAAGAAATAATCTTAAATGTAAGTATCGATCGACAAAGATTTTTAAATTTGTACATCGAAATCATTGAAAATTTAAAGTAAAGAATTGCCGACATAAATCTTTATTTCTATACAAAGAACTTTGAAGAAGTTTCACGAACGGTTGGTCGGGGGTATAGTGAACACAGACCGGCGGAAACGAATCTAGTGGAGTCAAATGAGCGTGTATAGTACCGCCACCTATGGTGCGCATTGAAAATAACCCTTGCGTTTGACTTTTACACACTATCGTCATCTCTCCTTCTTTCTCATTATACAGGTATTCCACTAAGACGCCCACATTCATCAAGGGTTTCTGTGTTGCAATTATTTGACAACCGTTATAACATGTTATAACTCGCCAGTCTGGACATTGTTTTAAACGCTGTCCAGACTGGAGAGTTATAACATGTTATAACGGTTGTCAAATAATGTTATAACGGTTGTCAAATAATTGCAACACAGAAACCATCATCAAGATAGCGCTATAACATGTTATAACTCTGTATTCTGAACGTACTATTATGCCTTGTTCAGACTGGAGAGTTATAACATGTTATAACGGTTTTCAAATAATTGCAACACAGAGACCACCATCAAGATAGCGCTATAACATGTTATAACTCTTTTGTCTGAACGTACTATTACTCCAAAAAATTACGAAATTTGCTGGTAGAGAAAACATGCCTCTACCTGATGGTGTCATTTTTTGCATGTGTGAGCTTTTATTCGCGAGAAATCGATGGCTAAATCTATTGTATACTAAAGCAATTTCAGCCTTTTGAAATGTTGGCACTGATTTTTTTTTCTGATTAAGTGAACATTTGTTTCAGTGTAGTTGCGCCGATACATCAGTGACATTTTCATGAACGGGTAGTTTACCGTTTTTATATCATACTCATAAAGCCATCGTTTTGATTGAAAATAAAACAACGTGTTCGCCGGCGTTCAAGTTTTGCATTTTCGGTTGGATTGTAATAAATTAATAATTATTATCTAATTATCTAATTTATCCACACTGCACAGCAATAAACAGGTAATTTGCTTCTGAAATATTCTGTCAGGTAACGAATCTTTTTTTTTTAAATATTCCCACAAAGTTTCATAGAGCTGAATGCAACTGCGCAAAATCTTTAGCTTGCCAGTCCAATCGCTGTCCCCCCTTTTGTTTACATACCGCTCTCGTCATTATTTTCGGAATATGTCTTGTTCCGATCTGGTTCCTCCGGCCGCTGTCCGTGGGATGACCGTGCTCGATAAAGGTGCCTTTGAAAAACGAATTAGTGTACCCCACCTGCTAGTGCCTCGTGATTTAGATTTCAATCAGATATGTTCGACAACGAAGAATCTTCTGCTGAAGATAGAACGATTCAAACCGGTAAATTCAGAAGAATTCAAGATAACACTGCATCCTCTAGCTGTAAAGCAATGGGAAGACTTGAAGGACGTAAATCTGGAGAAAAAGGGTCTCAGTGAAAAAAACTTGGTGTGGGAAGAAATCAAGCTTGGATATGACAATTGGAGATACGATGAGATACTGAAGGCTGTTCTACCGGAAGATAAAGAAGCCTTGACGACATTTTCGAAGGTTGGACATGTGGTTCACTTGAATTTGAAGGAACATTTGTTACCGTACAGAAATCTTATTGGGGAAGTCGTTAAAGATAAGATACCTGGCTGCAGAACGGTCGTTAACAAGCTGCTAACGATTGATAACACGTATCGGAATTTTCAAATGGAATTGCTCTGCGGAGACGAAGACTACCAAGTATCGCTCAAAGAGAACGGCTGCATTTTTGAATTCGACTTCTCCAAAGTTTATTGGAATTCGAGGCTTTCAACCGAACACGCCAGAATCGTTCAAATGCTGAACAAGGAAGATATATTGCTCGATGTGTATGCCGGTGTTGGTCCCTTCAGCGTTCCTGCTGCCAAGAAGGGATGTGCAGTGCTGGCGAACGATCTTAATCCCGATTCGTACAAGGCATTGGTGCATAATTGCAAGAAAAACAAAGTTGATGCAGGAGTTCAATGTTTCAACAAAGATGGAATCGAGTTCATTCGGGATGATATTAGAAGATACATTATTTCTCGAAACGCAGGTGATAACACCAGAGGACAAATGCACATTACGATGAACCTTCCGGCTTTAGCCGTTGAGCACTTGGATAGCTATGTTGGTTTGCTTCGAGGAGAGACCCTTGAGATTACGCACTTCCCAATAGTGCACGTCTATTGCTTTGCAAAAGGGGTTGATGACAAGAAAACCCTAGCTCGAAAAATGGTGGAGGAAAATATGGGCATTCTGTTGGGTGACAACCTGAAAGAAATTTCATTTGTGAGAAATGTAGCACCTAACAAGGACATGATGCGGGTTAGCTTTCTTCTAACTCAGGAAATCTTGTATTCCAATGGCAGTTCCCTGAAACGAGCATCTCCCGTGGACAGCCTGCAAAGTGCTAAACGGAAATGTAATTAACATAACGATAATTACGAAGATAATAATGCATAAAACTTTTCTATTCCCATTTTCAGGTATCGAGGTAGTTTCCAAAGATGGGCAAAAGGAACATCAAAAATCGCAACCAGCAGAAACAGATAGCAAAGAAAGTTAATAATATCTTCACTGTCTCCCAGGGCAAGAAAAGCAATGCCAAGAAGGCGAAAGAGGTGTCGACGAAATTGAAAAAGGTTTGCATAAATGTTAAGAAATAATGACTATCATTGCTAATTGGACCTTGATCTTTGTTTCCAGATAAATGTACACGACAAGCGAGAGAAAGCGGACAAAAACTTCCAGGCTCTGCACGCTCAGATAGTGTCCAAAAAGCCAGAAAAGAAACCACCACCGAAACCACTTCCCCAGAAGAACAAAAAGCCAACTAACACCAAACAGGTGGAAACGGGTTTGGATGAGATGCAGGTGTAGTGCTGCGCCGATAAGTATCCACAAATTTCCGCATAAGTGTACATTGTTTTTAGCATATGAAGCTGTAATTATTTAAACTAAGAGTTACGAATTTAATTAACTCTGTTGGTCAACGATGACAGCATATATTCTCGTCTACTCAAGGGTATACCCTGGGCTGTATACAGCTGGGCTCTATTCTAACAAGTAGGGTAAGGTGAGGCAAGATGGGTCATCTACTTGATTTATTTATATTTTTGATTATCAACATGAACAGGCTTTATGTAGCCCCAATGCTGGTTTGAAAAAGCACCACCAACAAATAAATTTATAAATGTACTAGCTGACCCGACTTGCCCCACCTTACCCTATATACCTACGTATGCTTAAAAAGGAAATTCGTCTGCCTATTTGATGATTATAAACGCAATTTATTGTTGGGCCTAGATAAGGGACTTACACCCTAGTTTTCTTTTATTTTATTAAATACAAAATTGGACCTCGCAAATCAGCTTACCAAACCATCACTCGCGACCCCAGAGATAGTAAACGGTCCCTTCGTTTCTGGTTTCCTGCAGGATGTGCAAATGTCGCAGCATTTGCAACTTAGCGTTAATCTTCTTATCTATCAATCGTCCCATTTTCCGAGCGATGTCCCCCTGTGTGATGAATTTCATATCTGGAATAGAGAATCCATTTCAGTTTATTGTTATCTCACAAATATTCAACTCCCTTACGAGGAAAGGCGGCTTGCTGTTGATTGAAGGCCTTCCAGAGAGCAAGATCCTGCTGGTTGGTAACGGCTTTCTTGTTCTTGTACAGCAGTGAGTACTTTTCCTCGAAGCAAGACACGATAACCGTCTGCATAAATGTTTTCAGTTCATCCAGATTCTCTCGACCTCGCATATATTTCGGAATTTGATCGAACTCCTCTTGATTGATGCAGAAATTGAAATCCAAAAACGAGAGGCATCGAGGTTTCATTTTCGCTGTAAATGGCGATTTTTGATACTCGGACAGCAACATCTTATCTGCGGAAGCAACTGACTTTTGATTGTTACTGGTTAGATGAATCGGCTGTGCATTTGGATGCTGTTCTCGAAGCACATTGCTTTGCCGTTCTGCGATTTCGTCCAACTTTTCCATTAGGTGAATAACAAGTAGGTTGTTTCGTTGCATTTTTCTCATAACATCGACGTATTTGGGACCAAGCTCGTGGTGGAATTTGTCCAAAGACTCTTTTGCTTTCTGGAATGCACTTGCTGAGTTGCTACATTTTCCGTTTAGTTCATTTAGGTCCGCGACTATATCCGATTTGCATGCCTGGAGCACAAAGAAAGCTTCTATTCGTTGAATCAATTGCACTTGCTTCTCCAATAACGTTTCTAGATCTTCCATTTTTATTGATCAATCTGAAAAATTAAAATTAAAGAATTATTAAATTCTTGTTTTCGAAACCTACCAACTACAAACGGTTTAAATTATTTGATTCAGCTGAGTTGATATGGTTCGCTTTTTGTTTTGGTTTTTTAGATTACTGTATTCGTTCTGGTATCTTGTATGCTATGAGCGCACTCACACTATAACGCTTATAATGTTTATATCGTTTCTACACGGTAAGAAAAAAGAACCCAACAGTAAGTTCTTTTCACTCATCTCGGTACTATAATATCAGTGCCAATATTTCAAAGGGGCGTCATGAGTGAGCTTTTATTTGCGAGAAATCGACAGCTAAAGCCATTGTTTACAAACGCAATTACGCCCCTTTGAAATGTTGGCACTGATATAGTGCAGGAAGCCAAAAGTAGGTAAAGCGGGTCAAATAGTTCCATTTACTTGTGTGCAATTCGTATGGAATTTTCAACTCGCTTTCTATTCAAAAGTAAATTAGTTTTACCCAAAAGTAGGTATATGATAATAGTCAGCGTTGGGTTCCCACACTTTACTACCCCTATTGGGTGATTCTGCTCCTCCGTTTTTGACAACATTGGAAGTCAAAAGTATACACACGCTATTTCAAAACAACACTTCAGTTTGGCCGATCTGGGTGGATTCTACCCAAATTTGGGTAGTTTTGAAATAGCGTGTATGTAAATGGCCGTTGCCCATGGGCTACACTCAAAAAATTTATCACATATCTAATGGATGGAAACCATATGAATTTCACATAGCTTTCATGTGATCACCCTAATATATTTGTTATGGTTATTTTGCTTAACGACGTGTTTTAAGTATCATCCAAACCATTTGTGGAAAATTTCGACTATGGTATTTGTTTATTAGGGCACATGGCTAAAAATCCCACCACAAAATCACATGCATATTATGAGGCCGATGAAATTCATATGAAAAATCATTAAAAATTAACGTGATCGCATAAATGTTATGCGAAATTAAGATGAATTCGATTCTATAACATTCCCCAGAAAAGATGATGAAATTAGTAATCTTCACTTTTCTTTTTTTTTTTAGTATGGATAATACACTATGTTTACTTTAATGGAACTATGTATTTATCAATTCCAAACCATTTTTTAGCTCTTTATAAAATGACAACTTTCAAGTTTTCGAGCACTTCGTTCACGTATGTATGTACGTAATGTATGTATGTATGTAAGGTAGCCACCATCCCTTCAAAGATCTTGTCTTGTATGCAGCTCCACTTAATAGCAAGATCAATTTGAGGTACCGATCTGAATTCACAATATCGCTGTATGAAGGGCCAAAAACGGAGGTGCGGACCCGTAAGCAGAGACACTTACACGAAATCCACGGGAATTTAAGAATCTCCTTCCAACGATACGATCCAACAAATCGAATAACACAATTCGCAATACTTATTAAGCTTCCTACAGGATGGTTTGTAAAGAAGGGCGCGTCAATCTCACTGAAACTGTTGAAGTAGAATTCACACCACCACAATCGAATCGGTAGGATAAAGAAAGTGATAGTGTTTATTCCCTCCAAGACTCCGGTTGCCATACCACTCCATCGTCCAGTCCCAGGTCAAATGATACCCTGATGCTCCCTCCCAACCCAGTATTTATTTATATAATGAAAATATATGTAGTGGAGAAATGAAATATATCAGAACATTAAAATATGACAAAGTGAAAATACATTTAGCTGCTACTGCAATGAAGAAGTAAATTACATTAATAAGATGCAGCTCGAAACCTCGTCAGCTCACAATGGCAGGTGGATGTATAGGATACTAACAATAATGCTAAAAATTGTGATGAATAACATGACGAGAAATAACCTGCTTAATAATTATATACATATAATATTATTTAATGTTTTTACACAGACAAACAGACATAACACATTGAATATTTCTCACTGTAAAACATCGTCGCTAAAACATTACCGCCATCTGTTGAGTACACTGTGGTGGGTAGTACGCTGAACAGATGGCGATAGTGTATAAACGTCAAACGCAAGGGAACTGACTATGCGCGCCACAGGTGGCGGTACTACCAACTACGATACTTTTAAATTGACCGTTAAATGCTTGTTCGATGAACAACTTGCGAGTGTTATGTCTGTTTGTCTGTGGTTTTTACTTCCTCTGCTTCATATTAATTTCGATGACTTGCTTGGATATACTGAAATATTAAGCTAATAGTAATAGTATATCATGCAATGTATAATTTATATAATATATGTAGTGAAATGCAAAATATAAAAAAATAAACAAGTTTTGTTATTTATAATCATTGGTCGTTGGTAGCATCTAGTCTAAATGTGGTATCTGTATAATAATTATATGCATATAATGTTAAGTATAGTTGTGCTTCCTCTGCTTCATATGCTTAATTTTAATTTCGATGAGTTATACAATACAATAAAAAGACAATAGAGTGAACAATAAAATGGTGCCCTCCTTCTCTTATCCTGTAAATGCATTGTTATCAAGCAACATTTAGATAAATCAACGCCTAGCGCACTCCAGAAACATTACAGGTTGTAAAACAATATAACAAAGAAGATCTCTTACGCGAAATTCACGGGAATTTAAGAATCTCCTTCCAACGATACGATCCAACAAATCGAATAACGCAATTCGCAATACTTATTAAGCTTCCTACAGGATGGTTTGTTAAGAAGGGTGCGTTAATTTCACTGAAACTGTTGGAATAGAATTCACATCACCACAATCGAATCGGTAGGATAAAGAAAGTGATAGTGTTTATTCCCTCCTAGACTCCGGTTGTCATACTACTCCATCGTCCAGTTCAGTATTGGTCAAACGCTGCTGTTGGTATAGCCCTTGTCACTAGCCTGCAGTATCTCTCCTGGATTCTGGCAGAGTTGCCAGTCTTCTTGATATGATGTCTTCGGTATAATTGTACTTGCCACACAATTATGCTAATGTAAAATGATACCGGCATTGAAAGCTCTCAATAAATAACTGTGGAAGCAACAATCAATACGAAACTAACGATTTTAAATTGGCTCACCACTTTAGTAGCCTATTGGTCCCAAGCAAACGATTAACGTACCCTATTCTAGTTGAAATTCTTTTACTACACTATGTTTGTTTTGATTCGCTATGAAAGTTTGACAGATAACATCAGGGTGTGGATTCATGCAGAACATGCAGGGGTGAGTGAAATAGCTTGGGACTGCTTGGGACCGTTGTTCTGGTACTGAGTGAGCCAAAAATAATAATGATTTTCTTCGGGACCCAGTGGTCTTAGAGTTACCTCTATGGTGGAAGTGCCTCTAGAACACTAAGCTTAGAGCTCGCAATAAGCTTATATGCGATAAGCAATAAGTTTAAATGCGAAGTAGAAGAAGAAGAAGCATTCAAAACAAGTATATAATCTAAAAAATTAATAAAATGTTCTCATCTTTCCTACAGACACTCTATCCAGCTTATGTATCCAGTATTTTACGATCGCTTATGGCCGCCACAATCTGACTGAGTTTTTGGTAGGGAACATATGATTTGACGTTTAGGTTGTGTCGTTTGACGTGTAAACGTTCAAATTTGTACGTTTACACGTTAAACGACACAACCCAAACTACAAATCTTATGTTCCCTACCAGAAACTCAGCCAGATTGTGGCGGCCATAAGCGATCGTAAAATACTGGATACATAAGCACCAACAGAAGTGTATACACCTTTCAATATATGAATCTTGGGATGGTTGAATTGTATGTACCAGTAAAGCTGGTATAAATGGTAAAAGGTGGTATAAGGTACAACCAACAATCAATACGAAACTAACGATTTTAAATTGGCTCACTACTTGACTAGCCTATTGGTACCAAGCAAACGATTAACGTATCCCATTCTAGTCGAAATTCTAGTACTACGCAATGTTTGTTTTGATTCGCTATGAAATTTTGACAGATAAAATGAGGGGTTATTGGTTTTTCCTATGTTTCGAGGGGTGAATCGATTAGCTTGGGACCGAAGAGAGTACCAGAGCTGAGCCAAAAAGTTGAGCACATTATTTCGGGACCTTCTAGTCTTAGAGTTACCTCTATGGTACAACCAACAATCAATACGAAACTAACGATTTTAAATTGGCTCACCACTTTAGTAGCCTATTGGTCCCAAGCAAACGATTAACTTACCCTATTCTAGTTGAAATTCTATTACTACACTATGTTTGTTTTGATTTGCTATGAAAGTTTGACAGATAACATCAGGGGTGTGTGGATTCATGCAGAACATGCAGGGTTGAGTGAAATAGCTTGGGACTGCTTGGGACCGTTGTTCTGGTACTGAGTGAGCCAAAAATAATAATGATTTTCTTCGGGACCCAGTAGTCTTAGAGTTACCTCTATGGTACAACTTTGCTGAAGACAGCATCACGGTTCAAGCATAGAGGTAACTCTAAGACCACTGGGTCCCGAAGAAAATCATTATTATTTTTGGCTCACTCAGTACCAGAACAACGGTCCCAAGCAGTCCCAAGCTATTTCACTCACCCCTGCATGTTCTGCATGAATCCACACACCCCTGATGTTATCTGTCAAACTTTCATAGCGAATCAAAACAAACATAGTGTAGTAATAGAATTTCAACTAGAATAGGGTACGTTAATCGTTTGCTTGGGACCAATAGGCTACTAAAGTGGTGAGCCAATTTAAAATCGTTAGTTTCGTATTGATTGTTGGTTCAAGTTAGTATTATGAAGATATTAATTATTTTGCTTGTTGTTACTCATTAACTGAACTACAAGGTTTGAAAATCTGAATCAAATCAAGAATAAGGAAACTTTTTTATGATCGATAGAGTATACTACCGTTATACACATAAGAGTCCCACGGTGCATAAGGATTGCATAGAACATGGGACAGTTTTGCGTATAACGGCAATATAGGAGTGTCATTTTTCATGTATTTTCTCCAAATTTTCCATACAAAATTCGAACTAAAAGTGTTAGCTCATCTTAGAACCAAATGAGCTGAAACTTTCGGATAATGGTTTTCTCACCTAAAGTAAATTTAGGGTTTTTTTTTTATAATGCGTTTATTTTTCCAGGCTCATTTCCTGTAGCTTTGTGGAGCCGATATTCATTATTTAGATCACAAAATTACTTAAAACTAACGTTAGCAAAGCGGCTATCTCGAGGTTAGGGGTAACAAATTGTAACAAATGGATAGTAGGGTAGTGATTGAGAACACAAGTTTTGAAAAGCAATGTGCTCTTGATCTCGAACTAAGCGACATACGGATGAAAAAGACAAACATGGGGATGGGCAGCACACTTGGGAGACCACAAGATGACACTAACTACTAAATCCTCAGATCTATCCGTTTTAAAAACACATAAATTAAATTCAAATAGTCGAGATCTCGGCTAGTCAAGACATTATTATTATTATTTATCTTTATTAGGGAGGCTTTCAGCCTTGGGCTGGTTCGCCTCCACAACAGCCAAGACATCTCTAACGGGTATCGCGGGTTGTTTTCGTCGAGCCCTGAGGGATGTGGATAACTCAGATCTGGCAACACGGTGTAGGGTACATGACCAAACAACATGCTCGATATCATGATAACCACTGCCACACGCACATAAATTACAGCCTGAGAGCCCAATTCGATAGAAGTGCATGTCTAACGTGCAGTGATTGGACATAAGCTTTGAAATAACGCGTATAAAGTCGCAGCTCTTGTCCAACCCTTTGAACCATGGTTTGTTCGACACCTGTGGGAGAATAGAATGTAACCATCTTCCCAAATCACCATCATTCCATTTTTGTTGCCAGCCCACTGATGAGGGCTTGCTGACGAGCAATGGAGAAAAAATTCGTTGAAGGCGATTTGAAGCTCAAAAATATCCCCTTCCATAGTGCCCACCCTTAGCCAACGAGTCCGCTTTCTCATTACCCGGAATTGAGCAATGAGATGGGAGATCGAATGTTTGATTTAAAATTGACAAATCAAAGTTGGTTCCAATGGAGAATAGAAGAACTATGAAACAATGATTTCAAAATTTTCCATAAGAATGCAGTCTTAAAATGCTGAAATTTATGTATGAAATTAATTTTCCTATATGATCGTAAAACGCCATAATTCTTCACACTGCCTAATTCCGCCCATTCGTAACAAAACAAAAGATTTGTGTCAATCAAATGGCTTGAGCCTAATTACGTGGGTTGCATTTTAGTATGCCGTCACGGAAAAATTATTCCGTACTTGCCTGAATAATTGTTAAAAGCGCCTTCATCGATATAACCCTGCGCTTTGGTCAGATAGGGCGTCGTTGTGCCAATTTGGTCGTGGCACATTTCGAGTATGAGAGAGTGATTACAGTTTGCTCGAAAGTGTCTGAGTAAAATCGAAGACTACAAATCAAGAAGACTGACAACTTTGCCTGAATCCAAGCGGCAGATACAATAGCGCTGCGCTTGAGTGAAGGTGGATTAATTGATTAATTTATCTTTATTAGGGAGGCTTTCAGCCTTGGGCTGGTTCGCCTCCAAGGAGAGTGAAGGTGGAAGCAACGCATAGAAAAATTGTGTATTTGCTCATTTCTTCTGAGGATGTAATCTTTGCTATGAAATTCGTTCGAAGCATTCACCTTTGAGCGGCAGATGACGCGATTGTACCTGTCTCATAGTGTTCGTATGAGAAAATGGAAGAGTTTCCAGTCTTCTTGATATGATGTCTTCGGTAAAATGCAAGTACTTTCGATGATTACCCGTAGTTGTTACAGTGAAGATATTGGCGTTGACGGCGACACTGTAGCTCTTTACTCCTATGGTAAAATCCATAAGCAAACGTCAGACTGTGCGTGAAACATGGCGGACTTCGTACTATCCTTTCACTCCACAAAAAAAACCATAAGAAGCTGTCAATCTTTTCTAGATGAGACAATTTTTCGACGGTGCCGTCAACGCCACGACACCCATATTTTCGTTTATGTCTGGGCGTGTTTGCCATAGAGAAACATTTTTATTTGATTTTGTGTGATGGATGGGTTTCGGGCGTGGACGGGCGTATGGGTGATAATATAAAGTTTACGTTAGGATAACGTCGAAAAATTGAGACAAGTATCGCTTCAGTTTGAGAAGCACTTCACTTCGCAACCGATGAACCATCCTGACGGCCCACATTACCGTGCAGGCGCCGTGTGTTGCCAGGGTCCAATATTGGACAGTTTGATGTTTATAAAGTACCATCAGTTAAAACTGTATTTTGAGCTTTATTTCTATACATTCTTAGGTGTTTCTTAGTAAATGGGATTAACATTGAGCTGTCCATAGTTGGACGTTGTTGCACTTGTAATAATTGCACAAAATTTTATGTGAATAGCCAAGTAACCATACAATCACAAAATAACTTTAAATGTAGGTTCAGAGTGAGACAATGTCACTGAGATATGGTTAGTTGGGTATTCAGATAACACTATTACTTTAAAAAACTAATCCTGGTTGTATCTCTATTTCGTTTGCATGTAACACTATTTGATATTACTAATCATATCAAATCTATGATGCACCGAGCGTTCATTCCGGGTGGTGAGCGAACCTGAAGATGAAGCAGCTGTTAATGATGCTTCAAAGCCGATTTCTGTGATGGTTGGTATCACAATAAAAAATAGGTATACTAGGTAGCACCATCTTCATCGAAATGTAAGTATTGTGGACAATAATCATAACTAAATGATAATCAAATTTATACGATAGGTACCTGGATCAACGATATTTAAACATGCGCATTCAATCTCGACGACACCTAATTCTGCATTTCAACACCTTTGCCTCTCCTTTCTCTTATACTTCACCTAAGCATGCATCTACGCTTCTATGTTAAGGATAAACTTAACCCTCATTTAGTATTCGGCTAATTTCAATCGACTCGCATAAGTCATTATCTAAGAGCCATCTCATCTTTATATATTTGATTGCTGCATGGAAGGTGTATCAACAGGTCATCAACATTACACTGGCGACCAGGCTCAATGCCCCCTCCAGCATGGCACAATAACAATAATAAAGCGCCTTCATCGATATAAAAACGTTAGAGGCTGTTCATAAACCACGTATAACGTTTTTGTTTAGATTTTGAACAATAAGTACAATAAATTTTGCAGATTGATTGCGCTTTACTCTTCTTAACTTTATGCGTAATTTATGTCCAGCCCTAAAATTAATTCTTTACGTCTTATGCCTTGCCGCTTAACTTGTTTTCGATACAGTCCTTATTGAACAACTGTCCGTATACCACATGGACACTTTTTGGGATCCATCACCTCTGATTTTTTTTAAACCCGGTTGAGTTCAATTGACCACTTTGTCAAGCAGTTTTGGCGTGACTTTCTACCAGCGATTCCACAAAACTGGACCAACTAATTTCTATTTTTTTATGAAACGCACAAATGATGGCTATTTTTTTCGTAGTTATGGTTCAATTTACTTTGATGCTTTTTCGAAAAATTCAAAAGCTGTTTTTTTCGACGCATTATTTCAGATTGCTAAAAGCTCGCGTCACTTTGTGTAGAATAGCAAAAGGAATCGAATAGTGCGAGAATTTTGCAATCTGAACTAATGCTTCGAAAAAAACTGCTCTTGAATTTTTCTAAAAAGCATCAAAGTAAATTGAACCTTAATTAACCACTTCATTCGAGTAGTTAAAATGACGTTTACTACCACTTAAACTTTGAAATAAAACATTATTTTGATATTTTTTCTTCTAGAACCACGAGAAAAATAGCCAACATTTGTGCGTTTCATAAAAAAAATAGAAATTAGTTCGTCCAGTTTTGTAAAATCGCTGGTAGAAAGTCACGCCAAAACTGCTTGACAAAGTGGTCAATTGCCTGCAGTAACCCAAAATATTCTAACACATTAACTCGAATTTATTACCGTGACAAACGCTTCAACCCGCCTTCCTTCTGTATGTTATGCTGTGCTTTTACTGACTAGACACAAAAAGATACCCCTACTTACATTCATAACACATGCAAAATGTATGTCTATTGGTAGGTAATCATCAATCAAAAACTTGTACGGATTTGCCATCAATTTAGCCTAGGCGTTTCCTTCAATTTCAAACCTACTTACTGAATCCCAATAATAAAATTCTACGAATAGCACATAAACTGCATTCGCCTCATGCACATGGCACATGTTTCCACTTTCGATCATATAGGTACCTGTAGCTCAGAAAAACGTAAATCCTTCTTTCAACACAAGCACTCCTTACAATTTCAACCCACCTCAACAAACATTTTATTATTCAACAGATTATTTAGCAGCACTCATTTGCGTCCTTTTTTAATTGAATTAGACCGATGTTTTGAAGCGAGTGGTATCAATAAAAAGAATCGGTATCCAGTAATAAACTGGATAATCCTATCGAAAACGGCCCTAATTGCATTTGTTTCAATTCGACAGTGTAAATAACATCAATCCGATGTCCGTATAAAAGTCCATCGGAACCGACGAAATTTTGTCAGTAGGCACCGCGAAAGTGTCTAGGACGGTGTTTTAGAAAAAAAAACCAAATTAGCTTTCCCCACGATTGATCAATAGACTAGAAAAGTGATTGTAGTGTTAAATTTGCTAAGCTCTTCTATCCTAGTTTAATTGTTAAGTTGTGTCTCGCGTGAGCAAAATGCCTTTCCTAGAGCATCTTAGTGACAACTACACGGCAGTGCTACGACCCGAGGCGCGGCTATCGGCCGAAACCCGCTACCTCGGATGGAATGTTGCCCCCGAAGATCTCCCGCACATCCCCGAGCACTGGCTCAAGTACCCGGAGCCGGAAGCCTCCCTACACTACCTGCTCGGATTGTTGTACATTGCCTTCACGATATTCGCCCTGGTCGGAAATGGCCTGGTCATTTGGGTGTTTTCTTCGTAAGTTTCGACGTTAATCTACATTACGCGGTTCGCGTGTTTCCAACGTGTGCTAATCACCACGCGTGTCAATTTTGATTGCAGAGCCAAATCGCTACGTACACCGTCCAACGTATTCGTCGTGAATCTGGCGATCTGTGACTTTCTGATGATGGTTAAAACGCCCATCTTCATCTACAATTCGTTCACCAGGGGTTTCACGACCGGTCACCTCGGATGTCAAATTTTTGCCTTCATCGGGTCACTATCGGGTAAGTGTGCGCCAGGGGGGTCGAGAACCGGTAACAGAGTTCATTTTTACTCTATGAGGTTTGAACTCATGACCTTGCCGCGCCCTTGACATGACATTCCTTGAAATTCTCCACATAATTCACTTGCTATTTTCCTCAGAATTCCGTTTTTACTCTCCTCAAAATTGCATTTGAATTCTTCTCTGAATTTTCGTTGAGATGCCCTAAGAGTATCCTATAGATCAGATCAGGCCTGCCCAACCTTTCTAAACTTAGTTTTTGAAATGACTGTATCTAACATTTTTCTAGCTGCATTTTGTTTAATGCTCATTCATTCTGAGCTAAAATTCATAATGATGAATAAAATTGGATTAGAATGAAATCATTGCTGAGATCCAGATACCACGTCTGACCCGCGGGCCGTACGTTGGGCAACGCTGCTTTAGATTTTCCTGAAATTCCGTTAAATACTCTTCAGAGTTCCCTAGCAAATATTAGCAGATTTAGATTCCTTTGAATTTCACTTTATAATTCCTTTGAAATTCTTATAGAAATCCCCCTGAAACTACACACTTAGATTTTTTTGCCGAGATGGGCACCACCGAGTAGCTCGGCATTTTATTTCGCTAGATCTCAGTGAAAAACTTGCCGAGATTGTTTGTTTGATAGCTGAATCTCGGCAAATTTGACACTGAAATCCAACCAAAGAAAATGCCGAGCTGCTCGGTGGTGCCCATCTCGGCAAAAAAAATCTAAGTGTGTACCTCAGACTTATCCAAATAAAAAAAAATCAACTGAATTCATCTTATATCGAATTTGTTTTTGATTCAGTTCCAACCTGGATCGGGTATCAAAATTGGATCTGCCTGTTTTCTGACAAACGTCAGTTTTATCATTTGTTTTTAAAGCCTACCTAAGACTGACAATAAATTCGGTTTCGCAAACAAATTCGCTATTAGAAATTCTATTAAATGTTTCCAGAAATTCCTTGAAACTCCGCTCGGAATTATATTCCTTGTTGCATTCACTATGGATTCTACCCAAAATCCTTGAAATGCTGTCAAAAATTCCTTCAAATTCCCTCCAACGAATTGAATCAGTATTTTACAAAAAAATGTCTTGTTATTCTGAAATTTTTGTAATTCTTTGGTGAATTATCCACAGATTTCGATTCTCAACAGAATTTGGCTGTTTAATACCCTATACAGACTATGGCTTATATCATGTAATGTAGGCTATCTTGCAATGAGCTCTTATACATAGGATTTCCAGTGAAAACTAGATGTATGAGTGCTCACTGCAAGACAGGCTTTATGACATGATATAAGCCATAGTCTGTACGGGGTATAACGGTATTGAGGTAAATGCATATTCGTTAACTGCATTAAAAATGGAACCGAAATCCAAAATTTCACCAATTTTGGTACACTGGAACTATTTTAAATAAGTACGATTACATTAGCAAAAAATACCATCTTAGCGCCCCTTGTTGGGACTTTGTATGGAAGCGAGCTGTCAACGAATATATCGACAGTGAGCATGCATAAGGGCGTAAACGGGATTATCGATTCTCTTCGTCGATTTTCTCTTTTGTTAATAACTCGCTTGGATTAACATTTCTCGGTGCGTTTGTTGTCGCATTTTATGGCCACTACAACCTGTTACAGTACTGTATTGGACAAATTTCAGAAAATAGCTTCCCTTATCTGTAGCAATTTAAAGAGAAAATCGACGAAGAGAATCGATCATCGCGTTTACGCCCTTATGCATGCTCACTGTCGATATTTAGTGTCAACGATCAAATATTTAAATCTTGATTTAAAAATCGAGATGAATGTCTACGGGATCGATAAAAAATATCGTTCTGCTCAGAAAACGAAGCTCTATTAGATGATGTATAAAAATTGGTATTTTTTTCGAAGTTAAACAGCCCAATTGCTTTGGAATTGTGCTCAGAATTCCCTTGGAATTATCCTCAGGTATCCTTCGAAATTATGCTCAGAATTCGGTTCCCTTGGAATTCTTCTCAGAATCCCTTTGTAACTCTCCTCAGAAAACTCTTTTAAATTTTCTTCATAATTCCCTTTGAATTGAGGGGGTTAGAAGGAAAGGGGTGTAAGTGACTTTGATCGATTCTCTTCATCGACTTTCTCTTTTGATAGCCTCAGCTTTATGAACAGATGTTGCGCTATTTTTGCCACATAGTTTGATTAAGAAGGTTTTCACCTAGCATCCAGAATGGCACACGAATCAAGGAATGTGTTTGCAGCTGAATTATTGACGAAAGAGAAAGTCGATGAAGAGAATCGATGAAAGTCACTTACATACCTTTCCTTTTAACGCCCTCTATTCTAAGAAGTTCCTTAAATTGCTTCAAGACATTCCACACTGGATTCTTGCTAGAGAAGCTTAATCAAATTATCCCTTGTTATAGGGAAAAAAAAATCTCAGAAATCGAATAGAACACTGAGATCCGCCGAGCTGTTCGGTGGTGCCCATCTTGGCAAAAAATCTAAGTGTGAGTGAACAGCCTAAGAAATTCCTTGAAACTTTTCTAATAATTCTCTTAGATTTCTCCTCCGAATTCACTAAGGCTGTGTCGGGTTAAATTTAACTTGTAGTTAAAAGTGACATATAGAGAGTTATCGATTAATCCTGCTATCCGAGCGTGGTTATTTCTGACAGACAAGAAGTTAGATGTTGACAACCGGTTGACAACCAATGCTTCGAGAAATTACTTGAAATTCTCCTCAATATGCCCTTGCCCTTGCTATATTTCGATTTCTTTGAAATTCTCTTAAGAATTCGTTAGGAATTGTCTTCAGATTTCCATTGAAATTATTCTCAGAATCCGCTTTCCTTAGAAATCTTCTTTGAATCCGCTCCTTAGTAATCATTTTAAATTTTCTACAAAACTACCTTTGAATTATTTTATAAATTGCTGGATATGTTTCAAAAAAATGCCGTGAAACTCTCCTCCGAATTTCTCCTCTAAATTCACTAGGAATTCACCACAGAATTCCTTAAAATACTGCCACAAATTACTTGAACTTCTCCTCAGCATTCCTTATGTGTTTCTTTCCTCAAAACTGCATGGGAATTCTCCTCAGAATTATCATTGAATTGTTCTCAGACAATAGAGAACTCTTCTTTGAATTTCTTTGACATGCTCCCTTAAACCCTAGATATTCTGCTCAGAATTCACTTTTAATAATGGTAATATCCTCAGATTTTAAACCCTATTTCTGTTTTCGAAGGACTCATATAAGTCATGCAAAACAAAATCCAAATAATAAAGGTGTTTGATTCTTTTGAAATTGTCCGGAGAATTTGGAATTATTCTCAACATTATCTGAGAATTAACCTCAGCTTCCCTTTAAAATTCTCACAATTCGGTTCCCTTTTTTATTATTATATAGACTTTAACACTCTAGGGTCATCCGTGACTTGTACGAGATTTGAACTCGTGACTTTGGCGTGAGAGGTATGGATGTTAACTGCCTTCTCCAATTCGGTTCCCTTGGAATTCTTCTCAGAACCCCCTTGGAACTCTCCTCAGAATTCTCTTTAAATTATCCTCCTCTTAGAAATTACTTGAAATGCTTCCAAAAATGCTCATAGAAATTCGTTGACATTCTTCTTAGAATTCAATTGGTAGGATACGGCACTATTTCTTCATACTGTACTTCGCTTTAATTTTCCACTGAAATCACTAGGAACTATGTATATTCAGAAATGCTCCTAGAAAATTTCTTGCTTATTCTATTCGAAATTGCCTTGTAAATGTTTTAAGAATAGTCATTGAATTTTCCTTAGAGTACCCTTTAGAAACTCTCCTCAGAATTCCCGTGCAAATATCTTCAGATTATCCTCCTCCTTGAAATTATCATTTGAATTCTACGTCACCTTGTAATCCTCCTCAGAAATTTCTTTAAATTTGCTTCAGAATTGTCTCTAAAATATTGTTAAAACTACTTGAAATGTTTTTTAGTTATTTTTGAAAAGAAAATACTGAGAAACTTGTATTCGAATCTGAAACGACGAAACCCATGTCGGGATCAGGGCGTCACAATATCAGCTTCAATCGACCAAATCGATGCGACGAAGAGACTGCTGGCTTTCTTTTTCTGTTAAAGTCGAACAGCTTCGCAGCATTCTAGAACCTCAGTCGGTGTGCACCGTGTGCACAAACAAAATGTTCAATCGCTTGTCTCTCTTTCTCCCGTCGCTCCATTGGTCTTCCTTTCAAGCTTCGGTGAAACGGATGAGCGAAAGAGCGCTCGACTTTGATAGTTTTCTCTTTCATGAAACACATCAACAGAGGTTTCATGACGTATATGACGGAAAATGAAATAACACATTTAAAGCATTTCTCACGTGAAAACACGTGAAGATTACACGTAATATTTTTAATTTAACTTCCATCCATATATTTATCTAAAAAAAATGATCAAAACCGGGACATAACGCATTTTAAACAAATTGAAAGAGCGGTGATAGAGTGTTCGTGAAAGAGGATTGAAAGCCATAATGAGGTTCGTTTAACTAGAAAATCGACGTTAGTTACATTGAAAGCGATGAGCAAAGCAACGACGAGAAGTTCCACAGCCAGCCTTTCCTTCTAAGCGTCCTGCTTTTTTATTTTCGTTTCTTGCTGATAGCCTTGCTAGGCGTTATAGAAATGAAACGTCGAACACGTATGTATGAGAGAAAAAAAACGAGTTCATTTTAGAGCTTCGAAAATGTAGAGCCCTGGTCGGGATAGATCGGGATGTGCGATGTTAATGCAATACTGCTGTTCTTTGTTCAACATCGACTGATACTGGTTAGCTAGACCAGTAATTTGACCGGGTGTGCCGTTAATTTTGCGAAATAAATCAAGTACTCTGTGCGATGAATTAGATTGCCTACTCGTCGTGGAATTTGAACTAACTAATCCAATTAATACACGGGCGCATAACCACCGTACGGTGGCAATACGCCCTTGTACTCATTGGATTTGTTGGTTCAAATCCCACCGGTTGCTCATCATTGTGTTCTTTGTTTCTCAGTATCTTCATTTCAAAAACAACTTGACTTAATACTCGACAGTACAGTACAGTAGCGTAATGAAATGCTTCCAAAAACTCTCTTGGAATTCTCCTCGGAATTCCCTTTTCAAATATCAACAGATTATCCTCAGCTTTCCTTTGAATTCTACTCGGAATACCCTTGTAAACCTCATCAGAAATCTCTTTAAATTTTCTTCAAAGAAGTTCTCGGAATTCTTCCTAAAAATTCCTTGAAATGTTTCCAGCAATTCTTTGAAACTCTTCTCAGAATTTTCTCGGAATTCTTCCATGAACTATTCTAAGCAAGCTCGATTTGTAGCACTCTCCAGAGTTCGCTTGGAATTCTCCTCAGACTATCTTCAATATTATCATCAGTATTCCTCCTTAATTCTCTTCGGGATTTCCCCTTGAATTTTCCTGAAATTTCCCAAATGCCATATGCAAAGTACCGTGGACACCCGGTAATCATACCGTTTTTAATCTTTTTAATTTGAACCCAGCTAATCTGAACGCCAAAATATAGTAATCGGTCTGTAGACGTCACTCCGATTCCAAAAATACCCATATTGATGGGTTGGCGTCAGTATTTCCAACTTTTTCTGAAATCGGATGGCAGCCATCCTGGATTTCAAAATGGCATCGGTCATGAATTTCTGGCCAGTGAACAATCAACAAAAGTCAGAAAAACTGCGCGAATTTGGATCGAACAGCTTCGCATCAATGCGAAAGTAAGTTCATTTGACAATGAAAGACGAAATCAACACGAGTCAATCCAAAACAAACAGCATGAAAACTGATCAAAAGTGGTTCTGTTGATGTTGAAGGGGATCCGCTCGAAGAGAAGATAGAATGACTTTCAATTGAAAGTGACGGTTGACAGCTTCGTCGTCGCTTGACGATTTTGGATTGAAAGTGACTTTGTTAGGCCCTGGTCCCGAGAAATTCTTTCCAGAATTACCTAGATATTTTACTAAGAACTTACTTCTAAGAATTCATCAGGTCTTATCCGTACAATTATCTTGGAGTTCTTCTCACATTTGCCTAGGCATTATCTTCAGAACTCCTTTGAAATTCATCTCGAAGCTTCCTAGGAATTATTCTTAGGATTCCCTAGAAATTATTCCTAAGTTTTTATTTCATTCTTCACGATTTTCTTTTTCCTTTTCTGATCAAAATTATCTCAAACAAATTACAATGTTCCTGAATTCTGAGCTAGATTCTGAGATTTTTAAGGTATCCTAGTTTTTTTTTCTACTCATAGACCTGGACCTCGATCTGGACTAAGACTGAAATTTTATTTAAAAAATCCCTGAGAAACAAAAAATCTTCTTTTATATGTTTTTTTTCCTAGTCATCAGAACATCTCAAACCTGTAAAAAATACACAATCGCCTCGATTCTTGTTTTCGTTCGAATCGGATACGCCATACAAAAAAATATTGTATGGCGTATCCGATTCGAACGACAACAATAACAGATGTTACGGTCGTACACACTTAGAAATACCTAATTGTACACGTGACGGAATCCATCTTTGACATAAAGAATGAGACGTAAACAAACATGTCATGTAAAATAAGGTGCTCCGTAGACGACGAAAAGTACGTTTGATTGAGCTGAATTTCGCATCTATTATGACTCAATTCTATGTCAAAATTGACGCTCGTTTATGTCAGCCTCAGGGAACCTAAATTTACATGAGCATGATTGACCGTCCATAGTTGCTACTCTGTTATTGTCAGAACAGCTGTACTTATACAGATACTAGCAATCATCCGCAATGTGTAAAAACTGGTGATCTCAAACTAGGCCTCAGGGAACCTAAATTTACATGAATTTTTCTATGTGTAGATCTGATTTTAAGGGACCGTCTAGTCCGCACATAACGCTATTTAGATCGATAGCGCGTAGAGATAGAAGGTTAGTGTCTTCAGCAAAGTTGTTTGTATTAACATTTACTACACTACACTTTAATACTTTGCTGCAGAAAGCATTCTCTCTATCTCGACTTTTGGCAAAATTGAATGTTGAGTCTCACTTGTAGGGGAATTAATCAAGCAATAAAAAATTCAAAAGACGGGGTCATAAATGACAAGAATCATCTATGAACATACTCTATATGTTAAAGTTAAAGGTTTTGGCGTAATCTCACATGATCATTTTTTGCGATTTAGACCACTGTCCCCCCCCCCCCCCTTTGGCTACGCCCATGTCTGACGAGGCATATGCATGATAAAGCAGATACAGTCAAATTTCGCTCGTTGGGCTATGTTTAATGGGGCTACCTTTTAGTTGGGCTCCCGTTAATTGGACTATGTAGCCCACCTAAATCGAAGTCAAACGTCATTTCTGACAGAGCTGTTTCCTTTTCAAAGGGCACATGTATGAACAATTTGGATAGTTGTTAAACAATAGTGATGATAATAAACAATCGGTGTATCCCTCAACAAATTATCAGCTTGACAGTCCAACTAACGAAAGTCTTTCACTAAGGTTCTGAACCATTTGGTGGATTATTTTAACTTTTGGTTAAAATTTTACAGATGGAAAGTTATCTATTAACCCTGCTATCCGAGCGTGGTTACTTCTGACAGACAAGAAGTTAAATTTTGACAACCTTGGTTAAGTTCTTCTCGAAAACCGGTAGATCGACAGCACAGGGATTTTCGAACATAGAAAATAACTTTCGAAATGTCACTTTTAACCACGAGTTAAATTTAATTCGGCAAATGGTTCACAGCCTAAGGCTGTGAACCATTTGCCGAGTTAAATTTAACTCGTAGTTAAAAGTGACATTTCGAAAGTTATTTCTTATGTTCGAAAATCCCCGTGCTGTCGATCGACCGGTTTTCGAGCCACGGTCGTCAAAATTTAACTTCTTGTCTGTCAGAAATAACCACGCTCGGATAGCAGGGTTAATCGATAACTTTCCATCTGTCAAATTTTAACCAAAAGTTAAAATAATCCACCAAATGGTTCAGAGCCTAAGGCTGTGAACCATTTGTCGAGTTAAATTTAACTCGTGGTTAAAAGTGACATTTCGAAAGTTATTCTTGATGTTCGAAAATCCCTGCGCTGTCGATCGACCGGTTTTCGAGAAGAACTCAGCCACGGTTGTCAACATTTAACTTCTTGTCTGTCAGAAATAACCACGCTCGGATAGCAGGGATAATCGATAACTTTCCATCTGTCAAATTTTAACCAAAAGTTAAAATAATTCACCAAATGGTTCAAAGCCTAAGTGGGCTACAGATTTAGCCCAACGAGCAAAAGTTGACTGTACCACGGTCACACGGCCGTTCAATAATACCCAGTGACTGAGTAAATTTGTATTGATATCTATTTATTTTGTTCTCAAGGATATATTACTCAGTTTCCATAAAAAAAATTGGGTTTCTCAAAGCTACGAGTAACTCCAGTTTTTTTGTGAAAACTGTGCAATATTTCCGTGAGCAAAAAAAGATCGCAATACAAATTTACTCAATCACTGGGTAAGATTGAACGGCCGTATAAATACAATTGCTAATATAATGTAATTCTTCATTTCTACAGGTATCGGTGCTGGTGCAACAAACGCGTGTATCGCCTACGACAGGTAACTAATAGTAGAGTAAGGTGGGGTAATACGCGCCGCGGGGTAATATGCATACTGCCAAAGACCAATTGATGATATCAACCGATATGAACACCTTTCTATGATAACTCAGCAGCTCATTTACACAGCAAAAAAAAAGGTTGCTTCGGTCAGACGTAATTCATGACATGTATGGGTGTGTATGTGTGTATTCAATCTAACCCCCACTATCCGGCAGTGGTACTATGGAAGAAAGCCATCCGGAATTTCTCGTTTGCGGTAATTGCAGTAAGTGCGGGAGTTAGCTCTATTGCAGATGCATTTCAGAATGTCTGTATAATCACGTCCATTCCGAGGATACTTTCACTCACAATAAGCCCCGCATGTATGCATCACCGTTATCAAATGGATATTGGTATTATATACACTAGACTGATGCAAAATTTGACTTTTTCGCTCCACAGTGCTTAAATGGTTTCAAATCGGGTCCTGATTAGCCTCCCAAAGTTACAACTCATTTGGTTAGAAACAGACTTCGCACAAGCCATTTGAAGTTTACTTGTAAATTACTATGGGAAATCTCAACTTTTTGTTCATGGCCTTCTAGTCTTTTTCCATATTGAGCTGCGAAACAGTTCGATAGCCATTCTTATAGAAAATTTTCTCAGCTACAACTTTGTTGAAGATCATTTCTATATAAAACGAGACAGGAAACAGTTATTAATTATTTAAGAGATTGGTAAACTTATGACATGATCAAGCAGCTGCTCTGTAGGCAACACTGTATTTTGCAGTGTGACATAGTAGCCATGATTTTGTGTCCTATTCAACGCCCCAGAAACACCAATGTTGCCTGCTGAGCAGTTGATTGAGCATGATCATAAGACATCAGTGCATTGAACCACTGATAACTTTTTTTTTTTTTTTTGCATTTAATCAAAAAGTGGTCTACAGCAAAGTTGTAGCTGGGAAAATTTTTTACAAGTACAGCTGAAAGTTTTTGAAGCAGACCGATATGGTGAATTATTAGATAGACATGAACAAAAATCTTGGTTTTACCATAGTAATTCCCATACAAACTTCAAATGGTTTGTGCCATCTCAGTTTCTCACCAAATGAGTTCAAATTTTGAGAGGTTAGTCAGGATCCGATTTGGAATCGTTTAAGTATTGTGGAGCGAAAATTGCAAATTTTGCATCACTCTAATATACACACTTCCAGGTTCGAAAATATTGTTTTCAAACCTAGCGTGTAGGGGAAATGAATGTAATGTCGGCCTAAATGCCCCAAATGTGGGTCTATACCTAAATACAGCAATCGACTAAATTTTCAATAGCGACCAAAAATATCCGTTAGTACCGTCCCAATGACGCGCTTATCTAGAAAAAGTTGATCAATAGCAGATTTTTAGCGATGGGCCCAATCTTAGATCCATAAGCCAACATTAGAGCCATTTTTTCCTATTTAGTTTAATTTTGAAATTTGATTTATAAAGAATAATTGGCCGGTCTTACCATGTTCCGCTAGTCTGCCGCCGTTGATTTCTTCTTTTGGAATACCTTGGGCTTTTTCTCTAACGCTTCGTATTTCATTCCGTGCTTCACCGGCAATTTCCTTTCGTAGATAGTCCTCGGTCGGTTCTGAAATGATTCTGCCTTTTCCGTTTTATTTTTTTTTTTTTTCCGATGACGATAAAACCGCACTAATTTCCGTTCCTGGTTCGATGTTGACTCCTTCCTCGCTGGTTGGTGTGGTCTGACTCATGTCCACCATCTGTCACTGTATTGCCATGGTCATCGGTAATATCGGAAATATGTCAACCTGTACTAAATTGGCCATCCAAATATTGCTTCCCACATTACACATTGGGGGTTATTCCGAGAGTCGAAGTGACTTTTGTCACTAATGAAGTGCAAAGTCACGTCACCACGACGTAACTTTTCTCACTTCACTAGTGACAAAAGTCACTTCGACTCTCGGAATAACCTAAGAGAAGAGGTGACAATACGAAGGCAAAAATGAACAACTTTTCTGTCAAACGTGAACCAGCTCGTGATTGGCTGATTTGATGTGCGTACGAAGGCATAGATAAAGATAGAGATAGAGATACAAATTAAAGAGTAAGAAGCCAATTGTCACCTCTTCCTTTTAGGCAATAACCCCCATAGTCTCGTTTAAGCTGGGTTTAGACAGGGCAAGTCAATTGATCAAGTCAGTTGAATTCAACTGACTTGGACGTGAATTGAACGTGTAAACCATGCCATTCAACTGACTTGATCAACTCACTTGAATTGAAACAAGTTGAACCAGGCTCTACTTTTCAAGCCAATTGAATTCAACTGAGTTGATCAATTGACTTGCCCTGTCAATGTCATCGGGAAGCCAAGAAATTGTACCACTCGTGTCTATCCCCGCTCTTCGAAACACACCTTCCAAGGCGATATTTAACAGCAGACACGCACATTTGCATCCATCGTCGTCTTGACCAACCGCGTCAGTTCATCCGTAAATCCGTATTCGCGCATAATTTGCCACTGCCAGGCCTGGCAAATGTCATTTTCAATTAAATATCTCATGCGATATTTACAGAAATACTTCTGTCACTATCATCGGATGAGAAAACGATGACAGAGATTTTCTTCAAAATCTCATCGATTTTTTTGTCATGATAGAACGTGACAGTGTTGTGATCATCGTGATTACTAGCTCATGTATTGCTATTAAAGTTACTTGTATCGAGGAAACCTTAAAAATGTATTCACTCTACCGATTACATACGGTTACTTGCTTAAATTAATCTAAATCAGTTAGGAATGTTTATGTCAAAACCGCATAAGAATTATTCTCATGAGTGCTTGATCATTGGAAAATGACAAAAAAGCTAATGATCGGTCGCTTCGTCTCATGATAGTGAGAGGACCTGTTTTCTCATTGTCACATGACGGCCGTGATATTTACCAGCTCTGGCACAGCTGGTCTCAGTCGATTGTGCCGTATGCTGATTCGAAATCAATGAATAAATAATGTATGGGTACGTTTTATTCGCGCTAAAACTTGCCGAATCGCAAAAATTTGATTCGTTGTAGCGCGGGCACTCATGAATCCCGCCTGGTATAGCCCAACGAACTCTTTTTGTAATTGGTGATAGATGGCGCCATAGTACTTGAGAGAGAAACTTGTAGGTAGGCGGCGCTCAGCAGTGTGATCGCGCGGTAGTTGCAGCAATCCAACTTATCGCCCTTTTTGCAGATTGGACACACGTTATTTTCCATCCACTCCTTCGGTAATAGCTCCTTCTCCCAAATCTTGGTAATTACCCAGTGCAGCGCTCAGGCATACCAAAAGTACCGCCTCATGACAGTATTCCAACGGCTGTCGCTTTCTTTTTCCTACGACAGCCTTGAGATTGAGCTATAAGCGACAGCCCACAGTGAGGCTGTTATACGACATGCAACGTTGCCGTCTTGTGCTGTTCACGACAGCTTGTTCTTAGGCTGTGAACCATTTGTCGAGTTAAATTTAACTCGTGGTTAAAAGTGACATTTCGAAAGTTATTCTTGATGTTCGAAAATCCCTGCGCTGTCGATCGACCGGTTTTCGAGAAGAACTCAGCCACGGTTGTCAACATTTAACTTCTTGTCTGTCAGAAATAACCACGCTCGGATAGCAGGGATAATCGATAACTTTCCATCTGTCAAATTTTAACCAAAAGTTAAAATAATTCACCAAATGGTTCAAAGCCTTAGTCATGTATTTTGTTCGTTCGGCTATGACAGCCTCGGATGGTCATTCGTAACTTTCCTCGTACATACAACAAGCAGTCCGTCAAACTGCCGATTCGTTGCTGCTGTCTTTGAAATTTTGTTTGTATGTCGTAAAACTGCTACTACACTACCAGTGTGGCGCCGGAGCTCGTTCGGTTGCTATCACGTTCGTGCTGCCCATTGCAAAATTTTCATCCGATATTTTTTTTTTAAACGCACGGTCTCCGGCGAAAAATATAAGCCTACCCGAGACCAACCTGACTTCTACCAAACCCCAACCCGATGTTGGCCCGACATTGACCTGACATAAACACAGAATTGACCCGACATCGACCAGACATTTGGCCGACGTCGACCATAAATTGACCTTACATTGATCCGACATCGGGTCGACATATCTGTTCGGGATCATTCTTCTGGGTTTCTTCCATACTCCACTGCCGTATATCAATTGTATATAATGTCTCGTGACAGCCTTTTCGTGACAGCCACTTGGGTAAGCTGAGGGATGTCGTCGGTTTGTGAAGGCTGTTATGACGACAGAAACATTGAGAACCTGGTCATAAAGAAATGCATAAATACAGCCCATTCGGTTCACTACGTTCCAAGCACGATGATTTTAGCAAAGCGGGTATAGATGTGACTGTTCTAATACAGCTTTCATTCGTTCGTGCGTGCGCTGTTACCAATACACTTCGAATTCAGATCTGAACGTACGGTAGCAAGCGGTAGTAAAGCACACAAAGCAACAGTCAATTCAGGTATAAACCAACTGTCGCGAGGAGGCTGTACTTTTTGGAAGCCTGGCAGCGCTCTAGCCAGTGCTTCACCACCATATTTTAATAACTGGATTGGTAGCTATTGTTTCTGTCGTCTTCTGCGCGTGCTCCTAGATCTGTTACAGTACCGCCTTCTCGTAGAACTTCCGTGTGCCGTTGGCACGGTACAGTTATTCCATCGCCTCGTGGTCTCGGTCTGCCTGTCGGCGCTTCTTCATCCGATAAACCGAGTTTTGCCTGTTCCACGCTTTTCTGTTTTGCTCCACATTCACTCTCGTGCGATGCTGTAACATAATGTTCCGAGTTCTCCATTAACTACTTGCATTCGCCGTCAAACCAGTCATTTTTCGGTTCGTAGTCGTCGTACCTAGTGCCGTTACGGCAGAGCTACTTATGGTGGATCGGACCTTCAAGAGTAGCTGATTGATGATGCTGTAGTTGAAGAAACGGCCCTTGATCCACAGCTTGCACATCCTTGCATTGATCGCATACCACCCAATCATGCGTTGGCACTTCTTACCCAGCACTACAAAGCTGATCCCCAGCTAGTTGATGGTGCCACCGCTCGGGATTCCCGCTTTTCCATAACTTCTGTTTCGTCCAGCAAAGTTCCTGTAGCGCTACGACTTGGAAGTTACGTGGTTGTAGATTAACTTGTCACAACCAATCGTAGTTTTTTTTTCGTCGCCTAGGTCATTACCGATTGTTTCGATCCGTAATTCCTTGTGTGCTCCCTGTTTCGCCGGAGGACCATCGTGCACTGTTCTGTTTAGAGACCCACGCTGGCACGAGGACGATGATCAGCCGCCAGTTTTGAGCGCCTCCTAACATGGAGAAGAGACACTCGGATAGGCTGCACTTTCCAGAGAGCCTCCATCTCCCTCCCCTTTCAGCATATGAACAAGGTCCCACCGGGGTACGCATTGTTCAGCCGTTTACCAGCCAACGACTGGTCAACTGACCAATAGCTAAGTTGGTCGATGGATTCTGCTGCATGCCTTGAAGATGCCCATGGGTAGGAATCGAACCACTGAGGCTACCTTCGAACTCTCTTAGAACAACGTGGTGTCTGCACCGCTGGGTTGCGCTCGAAAGCGCTATGGACGAATATGAGTTCGTTGCCGACGATTCACCACCAGTTGATTACCAAGCGTAGACTCACTCTGCGATTTTCAGGCAAAACATAGCAAACTCGACGCTCTTGAACTACCCTCCGTTGTTCCTAACCAGATTGCTAGGTATTCCAAAACGTACGAAAATGCTTCGGAGAATGGCAATCTTGGCTGATGAGGTTTTAGTCCTCACGATCTCGACAAGATTCGACAGCTAGCAGTGAGTATCCTACGTAATCAATGTGCACGCGTTGCCACGGCTGCGTTGACTTGGACCACAGTTGTGGTGGAGCTCTCGGAAAACTTTTCGCAATGGATGCGCACTGACGGCAAGTCTTGACCGAAGCTGTGATCTCGACGTTGATTGGAGGCTAACATAACCCTTGAACAACCGACAATGAATCTTGACGGTTGTTGAACTTCTGGACATCTCGATCAACAATGACCGACCTGGACTTCGGTCAACCCTGCTGCACGAACCGCTAGACCTTGCCAAGAACCGGTTCTGTCAGGGTGGCTCACTATACTGTCCTAAATATGACAGGAACGAATTTGACAGTATCAAATCTTTCTCAAGATAACACTGGCCACGACGAAATCTGCATTTGGTTCTGCGTGAGGGTCGATGAGTTGGAAAAGACCATCCGCCTTCCGAAACATACATGTAGTCCTAATTCGATAATTAAAAGACTGGTGACGCCACTAACAACAACAACCACAAGTTAGAATAGTACCCATTTCTGGGTATCGTTGATGCGTTGATCACTTTTCAGTCATCTCCCACGTTTCGGTCCTGTTATACATTTAACATAAATGGTTGTAGTTGCTCTAAGCGTACAATGAGACGGACTACGGAAGTAAATTTGTTTTACAGCGTGGTTTGAACTTTCTTATCTGATTTTAAAGCTGTTGACGTTTGAAATGGTTTGCTTTTCCCCAACAGGTACAACACCATCGCACGACCCTTCGAAGGCAAGCTGACTCACACGAAAGCCATCTTCATTACCTGCCTGGTGTGGGCATACACCATTCCATGGGCCGTTCTACCGCTACTGGAAATATGGGGACGCTTTGTTCCTGGTAAGTATCTTCTTTCGGCACCTTCCCTAAAAAAAATACGAACGGATATTTCGGATCATCAAAACCCACTACGACGCGAACCACATTTCGGTTAGATTTTCTCAATAAAATTTGTTTATTGACTGAAAATGTTACATCCTGACACTACTAGCTATAACACACGCGACTTCGAAAACTTTGCATTTCGTGTTTGCCCATCAGCTCTGCCGCCGCGCCGCAAAGAACGGCGGAACTGGAACGCAGAACTGGGCCGCTATTCGGTACTGATTTTATACTAAGGTTTTAATGTAAAGGGTGATTGTTTAAAAACGATGCCATATGTCAATGCAATTCGTTCCAACTACAATTTCACTGATTAATTCGAACAGTAGTGTACCATCTCTCTCGTCAATCAATTCTCTCCTCGTGTTCGATATACATGATTTCTTCGCTACTACATGTTATGTGCTTGTGTGTTTGTGGTGTATGCTTGTTTACATGACGATAAATTAATTTAATGTAGATTAATTTTAAAGTAATGAAAGTCAACAAAAAATAAGGGAGTGAGGAAACCTTCTTAGACTACGGAAATAGTTACGTTGATTCCGAGGTTTCCGTTATCCGCAAACAACTGCGCGATTGAGGTATCGAACACCAGACAGTCCGAATTGAGGATTGCGCTAGCCACTCCTTCGTGGATGGACCGTGGCATCGCTTCCCAGGTCAATCGACGCCGATTTCCGTTCAGTTCCAATCGGTAGGCAAAATTCTCCGCTTCCTTACGAGATCCGATCAATTGGACAATCGCATAGAACTGCTGATGTCCGTCGTATTTTTCCTGCTTCTCCAGCACCAGCATAAAGTGGTGTCCAAAGCAAGACTGCATCATGACCCAATCGACCGCACCCGGAAGATTGATGTCGGTGGCAAGGAAAACAATGTCCTCACCCTGAAGTGTGGTAATGCTTTTGTGAGACATCATCAAATGTGGCATTACGTAGTCGAGCGACCCTTGCCATTTGCAGGATGCTCCAGGGCAAGGGCAGAGATACGGACGAAACTCGCAGGCTTCCTCATGTTCAGCTTTCTCGGTGTACACCAACGACACGGTGCAACCGTGGTTCGAATGTTTGCAGGGAAATTTTACATTTGAGGCAACCTTCTCCATTGCCAGGTTGCGTATGTTCCCCAGAGATCCGCGGCATGTGGGACAACAGGTCAATTTCGAACGGCAACTTGTGCACACTAAATGGCCACTTTGACACTGCAGAATCGGCGGTAGCACGTAATCGAAGCACACCGGACACTCGAACAATGAGGCCAAATCTGCGGATATTCCATTATCTCCTGCGCCCACTGACGAGATTGAGGAATTTGAAGAAGACGAACCAGTGACCTCTCGCCTTTTCGGGTTGTTTATTTTATTCGACATTTTTCTCTACTGCAGCAGCTCTGTTAGCAGAGTGACTGATGGCAGTGTTCTACGCAAGCCACGAACCAACCCGAAAAATTGAATCACCGCAAGAAAAGCCACCACAACCACTGTATACTACCTACAGTTCCACTCGTAATCGAAATTGATTTTGATTAGAAAAGCTAATTACTTCTCAGCTGCTGGTACGCTGGTGCTCCGCCACCTCCCTCTTCCGACGAATTGCTTATGTTAGGTCACTCCTCTAGCAAAAACAGTCGTCACTATCGGATTTCCATCACTGCCTGTTAGGCGAATTTTTCGGCCATATCACAAAACCTATGGAAACGAACAATAGAAATGTTTAACCCACTAGTAACGGGATTTTCACGCACGCAAAAGGAACGTCGAAAATATTTACCCACTGCTCACTCGGCGATTGATCGAAAGTGTTTTTCCTTCCCTTGATGGCTCACTGTCTCTCTGGTAGAGTGCTTTATTGTGTGTAATGTTTTTTTTCACAATCACCTTCACTAAACTGGTGCTGCTGCTGCTGGCTCTTGGCTCGCTGGCTGATGGGTGACTGATGACGCACGCACACCATCTCACCTACGCCATCTCGTACAGGGGAGCCCGAGTAAAAATCGAAAATAATTAATGCATTGAATTTTTATGTTATAGACGAGTGCACGGATGGATTTGAGTTCACTCACTCGACAAAACGTGACACAACAGCGGGGCCCTGTTTACTAAAAATGAACACATGAATAATACTCACGTAACATTTGAAACGGGCCTATCAACTTTTGTACAAAAAACTTGATAAGTCCTCTTCGCGCGAACCGAATAAACCCACGCAAACTTACAACACCATCGGATAGGGGAAATTTTCCTCCTTCCCGATAAGTGCTCTTGGTTTGCGTGGGCGTACTTCGGTTATGGTGAAAAGGACCTAGCAAGTTTTTTACAAAAGTTGATAGGCCCTTTTCAAATGTTACGCGAGCATTATCCATGTGTTCATTTTTAGTAAATAGGGCCCCGCTGTTGTGTCACTTTTTTTTTCAGTAGATGAACAAAAGTTCACCCGTGCACTCGTCTATTGACATCCATGTATGTCGACTTCGATAGAGCTGGGAAGTATCCTTGGACATCCCTCGCACAGCAGAAAAGATTGTAAATACACACTCAAAATATTTTCAAATCTAAATAGATTAAAAGTTACGCTGCAACTCTCCTGACCAGGCCAATGACAAGGCCTATACTAACAGCAGCGTTTGACAGTAGGCAGCATGTCCCGGGCGCAAATCGTTTATTTTGCTGTGCTGGGCCCGCTGTCATGGTATGACTAAAGAGGCTGAATTTATAAAGAGGCGACATGTCAAAATTGGAACAATGGATTAGCTGTCAAAGTCATAGGAAAATTTATTTCAATCGAGCAGAAGACCTGTCAAAAGGATAAGATGTCGCCTCTTTACCCAATTCAGTCTCTTTAGACATGTTGCCTACACTGTAACTGGAAAGTACCCATTAATGGGTGAAAAAGTGCCCATTTCGCGGTAAAGTAGCACGCAGAAAAAACGCTCTGTAATAAATCAACAAAATATTTTGTTGTTTTTTAATACAATGCCTTGGTTTGTTTCTGTTCATGAAAAAGTTTTAAATTAATAGAGCGCTCCATTCACTTTAAATATATTAATTTGATTGAATTGCATCATTCATGCGATTGATTTAAATAAACGATATTTGGTTTGTAACAATTATATTTTTTTTCAATCGAAATGATTACTTTGATTGTTTTAACTGAATATTTTTTAAGTGCACGTTTCAAACTGTCAGTCTGTATCGGCATCGTTTGGCAAACGAAAAGAAGTTCCTCCTGCCTTTGCCTCCGTTATTATTGCTCTTAAAATGTAAGCCATAATTTTATTAAATTGTGTAGATTCTTTCAAATTATTTTCAAATTAATTCATGTAATTACAATCTCAGCGGTGACGTGAAAAAAAACGCAGTAAAAACGCGATACCATAAAATTGTAATTGATATTTATTGATTTACTTAAATTTGATTTTGATACAATAAAAAAATATGAATCGCTACAACTAAAATTATTCGTTGCTCTAATAAATGCTGCAGGTTGATTCAAGTAAACATTTTTTTGAATCAATAAAAAATCAATGTTTAATTCAATAAAGCTGGTGGCATTATTTCAATTCAACATTTTTATTGGATTACTCTATGGATTTTATTGATCTATATTCTATTCAAAATTTTGTTTGAAATGAATCGTGCTTTATTTGAATGAACTATGTTTTTTTTCTGCGTGAGGTAAACTCATAAAATGGGAAAAACGTCTTTACCCACTAATGGGTAAAGAGCTTATACGTCAAATCATGGGGTACTTTTTACCCATTTCCAGAACGCATTGTTTTCCGTAACTGGGTAAAAAAGTACCCAATTTTTAAAATGTATTTATGGGACTCAAATTTGTGGAATGAAACAAATATGCTTTTAACAACGTTATAAGCTAAGAAATCATTCAAATCAAATAGCATTTCTTACCTTGAAGCTTTTTGAAGCTATCACCATTCTTTAAACTATTCATATATATCACTTTTTGTAGTTTTCGGAACAAATGCACTCGAAAATGTAAACCAAGTATGTCAGCAACGTTATGGTGCAACAAAGATATTTTTCACCCAATAATGGGTAAATATGTACCCATTTTTGATCCCTGAACAGGTTTCGGAAATGGGTGAAAAAGTACCCACTATTTGAAATTTTCATTTACGCATTTTTTGACAGGTCCATACACTACCACAAAATGGGTACTTTTTCACCCATTAGTGGGTACTCGCCAGTTACAGTGACGCGCCTGCCACTGGCCTGCTCCTGACCGACGCAAAGCTTGGTACACTCAAAAAATATTGTAATCTAAATAGTATAAAAGTTACGCTAAATCGCAACTCTCCGTACCGACGCAAAGGTCGGTATAAAGGGAGAGAATGCAAACTTAGTATAAAAATGGTTTATGCGTGCCATAGTATAAAATCGAAATTTACCTACAATACATAGATACGGTTTAATAGAGAGAATGTATTTTTCGCTTCTTTATTTTATTTATAGTAAATATTATTGTTTTCAAATAAAAATAAAAATTGTCTCAGAAAGCTTTTTAAATCAGTTTATTTTTTATGAATATTATTTACAAAAAAGTACTTACAATTTCGATGCTGCCCAGCAGATCACAGTCGCAGTAGAAATCCGCCGGGACAAAGCTCTTCACCAGCACGAAGCTCCGAAGGGAATCCAGATGTTCTTTTTCCTGTCATTTTAGTAAACACTGATCGAATTCCACTCCGTTATTCGGGCTTAGTATAATTTTGACGAAAATTTTAATCGAACCAATGCATAAATTTTGATTTTTTTTTTATCTATTTTAGAGATTTTTAGCCAAAGGCTAGTTCATCGCTTAAATTTTGAAAAACCATAAAATGCATAAAATTTAATCTATATTCGTTTTGTAATATTTTTGAGTGTATAAAGAGAGATAATCCAGTATTTTACGATCGCTAAGAGCAACCGTACCAGTCGTTGCCATTTGCGGCACTATTTTCCTTACGCACAGCGTTTCCATTTTGGCTTAATCACTCCTCTCCACACCGGTCGTTGCTATCAGAGTAATAATTTAAGTTACCGTTTTCCACACCGGCAAAACAAACTTTTGACGTTCATTCAAAATATCAACCGTCGGATGCGTTGCTACCGGGTTGCTAAATGTATGAACTCACTACTTCCCAAGGTGCGGATTGCTATTTCCCCGAGTATTTCCCCCACCTGAATAGCTACCCCGGTACGCAAGTAGCGTTATGGTAGAGGTTGGTAAATGTGCCTTATTTACTCATTGGTACGGTTGCTCTAATGGCCGCCACAATCTGGCTGAGTTTCTGGTAGGGAACATAAGTTTTGAAGTTTGACTTGTGTCGTTTGACGTGTAAACGACCAAATTTGAACGTTTACACGTCAAACGACACAACCCAAACGTCAAATCATTTGTTCCCTACCAAAAACTCAGCCAGATTGTGGTGGCCATAAGCGATCGTAAAATGCTGGATACACCCTAAGTATAAAAATGCTTTATACGAAGGCAAGTATAAATCCCTGTTGTGTGTTATTTGTATAGTTTCCATTTATGCTTACGCTGTTTAATCTTAATGGGGACGATATTGATTTTGAGCATTTTTTTTTGTTTTTAAAATATCTCATTTCAACCAGTTATCTTTATTCTTCGATACAATCGATGTAAATATTTACATTATTTGACGAATCTCAGGTAATCATGACAGCAGTTGGTCTCTTTTCTTCATTCATATTGTTTTCAATAATCAAACGTCATGATTACTTGGGTTTTGTCAAAAAAAGGTAAATATTTACGTTGTTTGTACCAATGAATTACATGTTTAAAAAACAATACAATGTATGACAACAGGTGATCTGCTAAGAAATCCACGAACCAATAGTCAAACACATCCGGAACACGTTACAGTGAAGGATTAAGTAGTGAAATCAATTTATTGTCTCATTCTGCCAACAATCTCTTCCCATTCGTTAACATATCGCATAACAATCTTCCGGTACTCGTTGTGGTACGCTTTGATGTACATCCGGGCTGCAGATTTTCAGCATCTTGGCCATAACGTTCTTCACGGATAGAAATCCCCTTATACCTTTTGGGAAATTTCTATTGCTGATTATTCATAAAATGTATCAGTCAACTTATAAGCTGACACCTTGGAAATAGGTTAATATTGAGCATGTGTCAAATGAAATGTATAAATGGCCACACATATCGTTTATGCATTCTTATAGGATCTATGTGGTTTGTCTTATGGAATGTATAAGGCTGGTGTTTTAGCAAAAATGTATAAGTGAAAAACGGTTGACCATAATAAAAGGTGTATCTACATCGAAAATATAAAATTTCCATTTAATGGTTTATAAATTGCACAGTTGCAAAATCGCTAGTTGCATCCAGAAATTTAGCTTAAAACATAAAGCAAGGCTTAAAACTACTCACCTTAACTTCTTTGGATTGATTCAGAAGGTCTAAAAGACATTTTCCTATTTCCAATTGTCCAGAACATTTTCTTCCTTGTTTGGAATGCTGATGATCTCCGTCTGGTAAAAAAATGATTTCGATAACTTTAGGCTGTGTTGGACATCTTTTGTTCTAACACTTAAAAAACAAATATTTGCTTCTCAAAACAACGAAAAACCTTCTGGGAAGGAACAGGTTAATCTAAACAAATTGTTTATTCGGCATTTGGGGGCGACCCCGGCGTAGTGGTTAGCATTCATACCTCTCACGCCAAAGTCACGAGTTCAATTCTCACCCCCGAACAAGTCACGAATGACCCATGAGCGTTAAAGTGACTATAATTTAAAAAAAAATAAAAAGAAATAAAAATAAAAAATATATATATATATTCGGCATTTAATTAGCTAGAATAAACCGATGGTTGTAGGACTCTCTCTAATTTGGCAGTCATTAAATGGAATACGAGATAGAATACTACCAACAATCAATACGAAACTAACGATTTTAAATTGGCTCACCACTTTAGTAGCCTATTGGTCCCAAGCAAACGATTAACGTACCCTATTCTAGTTGAAATTCTATTACTACACTATGTTTGTTTTGATTCGCTATGAAAGTTTGACAGATAACATCAGGGGTGTGTGGATTCATGCATAACATGCAGGGGTGAGTGAAATAGCTTGGGACTACTTGGGACCGTTGTTCTGGTACTGAGTGAGCCAAAAATAATAATGATTTTCTTCGGGACCCAGTGGTCTTAGAGCTACCTCTATGATACTACCAGATCTACTGTGTACTTATTTTAAGCTTAGGAATCTAATGAGGTGCGAAATCTGCATCCATTAATGCAAATTTGTTCGCAAATCATGTGATGTGAATAGAACCCACCATCAGTGCAAGGATTACCTATGACTGCAGATACTTCACTGGTTGTAAAGTTCTGCCTGATGGTTTGTTGCAGCAGGGTGAATCAACTTCATTGAAGACCTTTGGAAGACAAACGACAAGATGTACGTCTATCAACACGTGACAAGGGACTGGCAAATCCACGAACCCTTGTCCAGTCTACAAATCCTTTGAAACCCTTAGGCTGCCCCCCAACCCAGCATATAATAATGTTTGATTAATGAAATGTATTCAAAAAAGGGTTATTTAGATTTCAGTTAATTCACCTGTACCAGTGTAATTACCTTTGATGACGATGAATTGTTGCTTTACTTATTTTCCAGTTTTCTGAAGCTTCCTTTTATATTTTTTTTCCATTCGCAAACGCTTCTTAATTATTTTTACCTAGTCCTACTCATTTTCCTTGTTATTACATATTTTCTTTCTTCTTCTACAGCAATTTTTTTCACTCCTCATCACTTTCTCCATCGGAAATTTCACTTCCACTTTCTTTATATATTTCATCTGCTTTTATTTTTATTTTTTCCCTATCACTGGCTAGTAACTACCAATATCTTTCATTCATCCCTTCATATCTTGAAAAGTCTTGCTTCAGCGAATCAACTGAAAATAAAACACTTCGGTGTACAGGAACTCTGCTACACTGATGATGGCTACGACAACTCTTCCTGATACCCCTTTATTAGTGACTCAGTCACTCTTCAGCCGCTTCCAACAGATCCTGACCAACACCGTCTATCCCCAATTCAGTACTCACACTTGGCCACTTTTCTCTAACTACCAATTCATAATCCGATTTCACACTTCTCCTACGAGAGCACAACTGGGATCTCCGACCGCTCTGTTATAATTGTAGTGGTAAACTTTCTATCCGGTAACCACTACTACCATCCCAACATCTACACTCGCTAAGCTCGAAATAAATCACTGCAACACTGATGCTGCTGACGTTAATGATGGTTCTGCACAACTATTTTTTTCCCGCTCACTCTTCAAATTCGAGGCTTTGTTCGTTTTCTCACTCACCCACAACCCATCCTGACCAACACCGATTTTCTCAAAAACTGTCTTCGACTCTACCCCCAATTCAGAACTCACACTTGGTCACTTTTCTCTCACTACCAATTCATATTCCAATTACACACTTCTCCTACCAATCATCCAATCGAACACCAAGCCTTTTACACCGCACTAAGCCTAAATCCACTGTACAACTGCAAATTTGTTCGCAAATCATGTGTGCAAGTAATAATACATAATACAAACGTTACTTCTTCTTTTCCAGAGGGCTACCTGACGGCGTGTACCTTCGATTATCTGACCCAGACCTTCGACAATCGCATGTTCGTCGGTACAATATTCGTATTCAGCTACGTGCTACCGATGAGCCTGATAATTTACTACTACAGTCAGATTGTGAGCCACGTCGTCAACCACGAGAAGGCCCTTCGTGAACAAGCCAAGAAGATGAATGTGGAATCGTTACGCTCGAATCAGAACCAAGCCAACACCTCGGTCGAGGTTCGAATCGCCAAGGCTGCCATAACGGTTTGCTTCCTGTTTGTAGCCTCCTGGACACCGTACGCCGTGCTGGCTCTCATCGGTGCCTTCGGTGACAAAAGCTTGCTGACACCGGGAGTAACCATGTTCCCAGCCTGTGCATGCAAATTTGTCGCCTGTCTAGATCCGTACGTGTACGCCATCAGCCACCCAAGGTATCGCGTGGAGCTCCAGAAGAGGCTACCTTGGTTGGCGATCACGGAATCGGTTCCATCGGACACGGCTTCCACCGTCACCGAAGCAACGACAACGAACACTTCAGGGCCGGTGTCCTCTTAAGTTACTGTTGTTAAGGTTTAACTTGTATCGTTAGGTTATACTGTTCTTTAGCAATGCAATCTGGATTCACCGATGACAACCTAGGCTATGATTAACTGGATTTGATATAGGATGTTTTTCGTTGAGTAATGTTCGTTTAAAGTAAAAAATTATGAGAAGAATAAAGATAAATTCAATGCATTTGAGGAACATTATTTTTTTATTTCGAGGTGTGTTAACTTCTTTCTATAGAGGGTCTAGTATAAGAGAGGAGTGGATTCAAAACAAACTGCCTTGGCAATCTATGCCTAGGTGATTTTTAGCAACACTACCAAAACCAGCCAGTCTGCTCCTCTCTTATATACTAGACTCTCTCTACTTCATTCCATCAAAATTAACAGTTTGCAGAGTGTCCATGTATTGTGCTTCCAAGTAAAAATTAGAGCACATTTCTCGCTGACGTCACTGGTCTTCCATGTCGCTAATGACGTTTGAAAATCGCTAGTCTTACTTAGCGCGCTTCAGTTTAGTGCTGGTGTAACTATACTCCGTGTACGGATATTGAGGTAAATACATATTCGTAATCTGCATTAAAAATGGAACCGAAATCCAAAATTTCATCAATGTTGGTGCACTAGAACTATTTTAAATAAATGCGATAACATTAGCAGAAATCACCACATTAGCGTCCGTCGGTGGGATTTTTTATGGGAGTGAGCTTTCAACTAATAGATCTAGTGTCAAGAATTTAAAATTTAAATCTTGATACAAAAATCGATATGAATGTCTATAGGATCGATAAAAATATTGTTGTACTCAGAAAACGAAACTATTTCAGAAGATGTATAAAAACCGGTATGTTTTTCGAAATTAAACAACCCAATTCATATTTTTATAGGCAAAAATAAAGAAAATTTTAAATCTGATTAAATGGATGTTCATTGATACAAGCAAGTTGAACAAGCTCGTGTTTGGTCGAAGTCGGTTTGACAGCTATTTCTGAAAGAAACCCGAGTAAAGCTCAACCAAACAAGAGCTGTGTAAATATACAGACCTAAATTTCTGCACGGTGATACCAACAATCAATACGAAACTAACGATTTTAAATTGGCTCACCACTTTAGTAGCCTATTGGTCCCAAGCAAACGATTAACGTACCCTATTCTAGTTGAAATTCTATTACTACACTATGTTTGTTTTGATTCGCTATGAAAGTTTGACAGATAACATCAGGGGTGTGTGAATTCATGCAGAACATGCAGGGGTGAGTGAAATAGCTTGGGACTGCTTGGGACCGTTGTTGTGGTACTGAGTGAGCCAAAAATAATAATGATTTTCTTCGGGACCCAGTGGTCTTAGAGTTACCTCTATGGTGATACGTCCTTTAGTGTGTGCTTGCGTTAAAAGGCACTTATAAATATAAGGACATGTTCTGAAAAAAAAAAATTGTTACATGTGCTGGGTCAATTTTTTACGGAACGCTACCATTTTTTCTGTTTTCACTGCCAAAATCCTGACCAAAATAGATATATTTGGAAAAATGTTCAAATCTTCCTACATTATTTTCCGGTTAAATTTTCGCTTCTGAGAAAATGGCACCGTGCTGTTAGTAGTTGTGAAAACTGACAACACATACAATGATTTATTGTGTGTGGTAATTATAACAGCACCTTTTAGGTTTTCACATGGGGACGGAACAACTTGGCACAATATTGAATTTAATGTTTCATTGCTTTCATTGCAAATATCAAGGCAAATCTATATATATATAAATGAATTTCTGTCTGTCTGTCTGACCCTTATAGACTCCGAAACTACTGAACCGATTGGCGTGAAAATTTGTATGCAGGGGTTTTTGGGGCCGGGAAAGGTTCACTAATAAAATTCCACACATTTTTATTGACGAATTTCCATGTGAAATTCCACATGATTTTCGTGTGACCACACATAAACAGAATCCACCCAGAAGCACACATGAATTTTATGAGTCAAATGAATAGTATGTGTGGTTACACATGAATTGTATGTGTACACCTCGGTGTACACATATTAAGTATGTGTCCGACACATAAATAACATTTGTTGATCGCATTGCAAAAAATCATGTGTAGGGCACATAAAAACAATCTTTGAATTTTTTTCAGTGTTCTTATGCTGGTTCGAGACCCCTCCCCCTCTGTAAAGGGGGCCCCCATACAAATGAAACATAAATTTCTGCATAACTCGAGATCATGTGGAGGTCATAGGGGGTAGCCCTTTAGATATTAGGGGGGGGGGGGGCTACGTACAATATAGCATGCTTTTTTTAAATTAGCGCATAAAATCAAGCTAATATTGAATCCCGAGCAAGGCCGGGCACACTCTGCTAATTTATAATAAACTCTTTGTTTCAGCTCTTAAACAGTTCCAGGCCAAATAGCGAAAAAATAAACAAATTTTACCTCTCTGAATTCCATGAAACTTCGCATTATTGTTCGCTAAGGGAAATGATCTAATTCAAAAAAAAAAATAGTGTGATCGATAGATTTTAATCAATCATAGCTCGAAAACGGGTCATCTAATCGAAATGACTATATGGTCGCTATATTTATAGTCTTTCGGGTAGAATCTTGGGAACCAATTGAACTGTCAAACAGCGGAACCAATCGAGCATATCATGACCAACAACAGAAAACTGCAGCTCTGCTTTTGCGAACAAAACTTCGGAAACCATTTTTCCGTGACTCAAGACTCGCTTATACGCAAATCAAGACCTTCATCAAGTCCGGGAAGTGCTGTTAATTTGCATTTTTGGTTGGTGAGGAAAGAACTTTCAAGGTTTTGTTTATAAAAGTTGATACCGTGTACACTACACTCACTCAAAAAATTCCACACGCCATCATCATGTGTCTCACACTTAATTTTGCGCTTATTTTGAAACACATCCATTTCATGTGTGAATCTTATGCTAGGAACCATGCCTGAACACTATGGATCTGAATTATGACACACTTGGATTCTATGTGCCTCATATGGTGATATCAATAGCTTTGCACACCATAGTTCAATATTCTACAATATTCTACTTTATCGACTTCTACTTTACCGACTCTAAAATGAATCGACAAATATATAAACAAAACTGCCAGAGGCCAGAGCTTTCACATATCTTTTTAATGGGTCTGATTTTGGATTCGATCATGAACTGTGGGGGTGTGCTGCTGCCGGAGACTTCGTTCGATCTCACTGTGCCACGGTTGTTCTCATATATGAGGCGGGTTGATACTCGGGTTGATAGGATAAAGTCACAACTCATGTTTTCGATGTTTATCTTTCTGAGCAAGCAATTCACATCGTATTGAAATGCAAAACACTTTAAATCCATCTGTTTTGAACAGTAGCGTGATTCAATGTGCAATACACTTGAATAGATAGTGAAAAAATTTCAACATTTCAAAGTTTGAAACACTATAAATTAACGTGTATAACACATTGAACCAAGGTTAAATACATTTAAAGTAAATGTGATTCTGCATTTAAAAAATCAAGTGTTTAAACACTTCGATCAAACGTGTGAAATTTTTTGAGTGCATGTTTCGAGGAGGGGTGCATCGATTAGCTTGGGACCGAAGATAGTAGCAGAGCTGACCCAAAAAGTTGAGTACGTTTCTTCGGGACCTACTAGACTTAGAGTTAGCTCTATGGTTATATGTTATACCATAAATTAAATAATAATTATAATAAAACAACGAAATTTCAATGATTTTTACTGTTGAATTTCGAGTACATAAAAATGTATTGTTAAATTATTGTACGGGAGAAAAAATAGATTTCAATTTTTAACGATACAACGGATACAATGCTCAAACAACGAAAATTAGTGTGATGAAATCAAATTTGTTCGAGAACTCACTTTTTTATATTGTTAAGATGCTTAACAACCTAGCTGAGTGGTGCGGAGAAACACGAAATGGTTGTCAAAAAGAATCCAACTGGTGCTGTCAAAAAGAATCCAACGATCTAGAGCTACTAAAAGTGATACTTTTCTCATACAATCCCCGTCGGCAGAGAAAGTATTGTGGTCAATGTTGAAAATATTGTCATTTCGGCATTTTTTTTACTAATATTCTTCAACAAAAAACTTGCTCAAATACTCGGATGTAAACAATGTAACGAACGAACGAACCTGCACGAACTGCTGAAGGAAGAATGCAAACAAACTTTATAAGAGTCATGTGGGTAGGTGCACTCCCAACACCATGTACACGTTATTTATGGAGCAAAGGGTGAACTTTCGACAGCATGTATATGCAAATTGTGAGCAGTGCATTAGCAAAACAATTTGTGATATCGGAAATTTTTTAAGTTGTTTCCTGCTGACTTGCAAAACAAAAACGGCTGTGTTCGCAGTACCCAGTTAACAACCCCCCTTTTTTTACTGTAAATTTCTCTAATACCATGACTTTCATTGTTGTGAACCATGAATTTCGTTGTGATTGTATGGTAATGGACAAAAATGTCCAATGTTTTGATATTAAATATCATGGTTACAATAGGTCGTATGAATAAAAGCGTTTACTTTACTTTTTCCTTAAGTAAAGCACGGGAAAGTAAACCCGCATAGAAAAGAACCATTTCTAGAACAGTTCAAACTTCACTGAAACCTTACTAGCTATGTTAACTTTATACAAAATAGTTTTGTTATGGTTTATGGAATGTAATAAACAGAAAAGAAACATTACTTTCTAATGTTACAGTTTCTGGTATGTTCCAGCTACATTTTGTTACGGTTAATCAACTTTACGAAACTATATTGAACTGTTTCAAAACATTACGAATAAAAGTTGTATACAACTTGTACACTGCTTACGTGTTTCGCTTATGGTTGCATTTATATTTTTACAACTGGCACAAACAGAGGAAAATGCTTTTCTTTGGAACGGCGGCCATGAGTTCACGGTGTTTTTTTTGCTTTATTATTTTATTTTTAAAACTTTACTCCAATTGGAAAACCTGTTTTATTGTTGAGAAAAATGAATAACGTAAGTAATACCAACAATCAATACGAAGCTATAGATTTGAAATTGGCTCACTACTTGACTAGCCTATTGGTCCCAAGCAAACGATTAACGTATCCCATTCTAGTATAAATTCCAGTACTACACTATGTTTGTTTTGATTCGCTATGAAAGTTTGACAGATAAAATGAGGGGTTAGTGGATTTTCCTATGTTTCGAGGGGTGAATCGATTAGCTTGGGACCGAAGATAGTACCAGAGCTGAGCCAAAAAGTTAAGCACGTTTCTGCGGGACCTACTAGTCTTAGAGTTACCTCTATGGTTATATTACGTTTTCTGATGTGGTTAGGCTATAGTTTCTTTGCAAAAAATGTATGGGAAAAAGTGAGATTTCGTATGGTGAACGTTCTTAACCACCCATTATTCGTATGGTTAGGTCTTCGAAAACCTTAATCAATATCGTCAAAACTTTACCTAGGTATGGTTCGATTAAAGTTGACTAAACCATTCTCATTATGGTTTTCACAGGAAGATAAACCATTTTCAATGTGGTAACCGTATGGTTGTGATTTATGCGGGAAGTATACACTCTTTTTATTCATACGGTCCAATGACAATGAAAATCATTGTATTTTTATTGGATTTTTTTTTACGGGTCTATATTGAAATGGTTCCGCTTTTTGATAGATCGAAATTCTATCCGCTTGACTATAAATATAACGACTCATATAATGACGTCTGAGACGAAGTTTTAGGGATAGATTGCTTTTTCAGAAAAAATACACGTTGCTAAGATGGTTTTAGGGTTTTTAAAGAAAAGTTGCGAGTTTTTGTTCCGCGCTCATAACGAAAACAGTGCTGGACGATATCACACGAGATACTTGTTATGTCGACTATTTCGACGTCGATCTCTTGTTGATTTGACATTCAATTTTCCACCAGCGCTCTTCTTCGTTCTTTTCTTTTTGCAGCGCCACAATCGTGTGCTTTTGTGGGGCCATGGAACCGAAAATTCCTCGTGGTTCCGAATAATCTGCCTTAATTTAGTATTTTCATTTAGTTTACTCTGTAAATTGTATCGTTACATCAAACCATAGGATTGGAAACTCCCCAAAGTTCAACGCCACATCATGGTGAGTAGGAATCCAAAACTGACTAAAGCGGGTTGTGTATGATGACGGGGGGGTTCGTAATCATTGGTATCGATGACGAAACTTTTCGTTTTTTTTCGTGTAGGATCTGAATGAACATGAATTGGCCGAACTTGAGGAGCGGTTGTACTCCAGCATCCATCATGCGGAATCGGAATCCACCGACATTGTGCCCGCATTGGAAGCTGCAGTGAAGCCACCGGCTCCGGGAGTTCCCGCAGGTCCGTTGCGGATTGTGACCGAAAAGTCGATTATCAACACTGCGCGGCAGACTGCTTCTTCGAAAATCAAACGCTACTGGGACTCACTGCAGCAGCAGAATAATAGAATGTCCTATCCTGGAATCAGCAAACCGAAGCGAATTGGATCGACCGAGGGGAAAGCTAACGAAAGTGTTGATGGTGAGTCTGCTCCGACAAAGAAGATTTTCACACCATACCAATCGATTCTTGGTTCTATGAGTTCGGTGAAAGACGACGATGGCTCGGTTCCTTCGGCAGAGGGGCAGAGTGAAGAAAAGCAAAGAAAGAAGAAGAACACCCAAGGAGATGGGAAACGAAGTTGCAATCCTAGTGAAACACGTAATAGGAAACAGGAACAACTTAAAAAGCTCAAAGGGAAGAAAGCTAAAGCTTTGAAGAATCGTCAGAAGGTCGGTGCTGGTGAACACCGTCTGGTAGCTACGATCGATCTGGATACGTCTTCGGAAGAAGAGGGAGAGTATCGTTCACCAGATCCGGTCAAGCAGGAGAAGAAGGAAAGTGATGTTCCAGGTCAAGAGCTGGAAGACTCGGATCCAGATGAGGTGGTTCTGATTCCGACTGCACCTCCGCCATTGGTCTGCATTGTGGACAGTGAAGATGAACTGGCGAAGGACGGTTTTACGCACCCAAAATCAAAGAAGAAAAAACAGACAAAGAAGATTAATTCACCGCGCTGCGTCAGTCCGTCGAATAGTTCGATTATGTCCGACGATTTCATCGGGCACAGTGACCGTACCCGACTAAACGATAGCTACATGGAAGGAATAACCAACGATGAGGAATTGGATTGTACGGCTCCGCACACGGTCGGATCGTTGCTTGCTGGTGAACGTAGAGGTTTTGGAGACCTTTCCCGACAAACTCGAGCTCCTTCAATCTCTTCAGATTGCACCGTAGCTACAAGCAGTGATACAACTGATCCAGATAAGCGTAACGGTGTAAAGCAGAATTCTTCGGTACCTTTAGCTGATCAGTCCGCTGGAGGTCCTAAAGTTTGTTCAACTCCAAAGCAAACGTTAACCGTTAAGAAACCAACAGGTTCCAAAACATCCAAAGCATCAGAAGACGACAGCAGATATGCGGCGACGTCCGCCAAAAAGTCCAAACCATCCACGGAGAAACTCCCCAGCAGCGATTCCTCGGATGAAAGCGAGGGAGGAAATGTTTCATCCCACTCAAAGCGATCCAAATCCTATCAATCGGATACTGGCAGTACGAAGAGTTTGGTGAAACGAAGCAAAAAACGTCGCAAGCAAGAATCTGAGCAGTATTCTGATGAAGATTTTGCCTCGATGTTGACTGACATTGTGCAAGCTATTTCCGAGAATGAAGAAGAAGAAAGTTCCGACGAGGAAACGACCGGCGAAACGGTGGAGAAGTCTTCGCAAGAAATTGTAGAACAAGTTTCTACGAGTATAGAAGAGTGTGTAACAGAACACTCGAACGATGTCCAAGAGGTAGACGTGGAGGAACCGCAAAACCAGATCAGTTTGCCACAAGTCGAGCCCCGTATAGAAACCCAAGCACCAGTCGTAATCCCGGGAGATAGCAATGATTCATTGTCTGTTGTGGCAATTGATGAAAGCGCTCCTCCGCCGCTGGTTGATTTGGTTGATGAAAATGTTTCTGATCGGCCGCAAGAACAGGAGAAAGAAGAAGAGATTATTGGACTTCGACGGGTGAGTGGCAATCCCGAGTGCTGCTGGAACGATGAGGTTCGAAAATTCTACAACGATTCCTGGAACTGTGAAGATTTCAACATTTCCACAGTGCTATTCAATATGCCACGTTAGTATTCAGTGTACTAGGTTTATTGAATGTTGGTAATTTTATGTCGGATGGGTATATTCTAGGTTCTAACAAATACTGGCCAATTGTTCACAAGGATAAGTACCCTGATCCACCGAAGAAGGAAATTATCTGCAACAATTGTGGTGAACGTGGTCACATGCGCTACAAGTGCCGCAATACTCCAAAACCGAAGACGTGCTACATGTGCGGTCTAGCGGGGCACCAGGAGGTTCGATGTCCAAATACGCTGTGCCTTAAGGTAAGTTATTTCCGGTTTTCTTTTCTTTATACTGCACAAAATTATCCAAAATATCATATGCCTTCGTAGTGTGGAGAAAAGACGAAAAGTTTCCTACGCGGTTGCCAATCGTGTGCCCGCGAGCAAAACATGATCTGCCATATGTGCGGAGTGCGAGGCCACGGACAGAGAAACTGTCCGGACAAGTGGCGACGCTACCATTCGACGGTAAGTATATTTACTTCTCCTGGTTGGGTTTCTCCTTTTTGATAGTGGAGCGAGACGACGACTTTTGCGGCGTTTGCGCAAGCGTTTGCCTACCGTACTTTCGGGTGCGAAGGCGGATACCGTTTCATTTTCGAATGAAGGAAGGAAGTTTCGTATTCTAGCGAGAGAAAGGTTGTTGCCAGCGATAGCAATGCAGGGGCGGAAGGTATTCACGGTGGCGGTTGCGCAAGAAATTGGTTCCATTCATGTAGAACCTTTCCAGGAAGCAGGTAAGTATCCCGGAGAGGTGCTATGCTAGTGCTAGTCGAAAGATTCAAAATAAGATGCGCGTCAGGAAACTTTAGCAATTTTTTGAGTGGTGCCTAGATTTAGAAGTAAAGGAGAGAATTCTATAATATGATCTACCCAAAACGACACCACCAATGTAGAGTAGCAATCAGTTTGATTTGCAGATTTTGAGTACCCAGACAAGTTTCGAGTACTCTGGGAAGTGGTCAGAATCTGGCTTGAATCCAAACTCTTCACTCGACAAATCAAACTATATGAGAACACAAGAACTAATGACTGGCGGGAGAGTACCCCGTTTGGCATAATGTCGTTTCAATCATGGTAATTTGGTATAAAAGCTTATATTTTGACCTCTTCTTCGTGAGCACTCAGGATAAGGCTTCTATCATTTTCACAGCTCCTTGTCCACTAATTAACGCAGCTCATTGGAGAATTTACATGTTCACACGTGGACATTTGAAAGTAGACCTGTCAGGTGTATTTAAATAAGATTTCCAGCGAGATCGACTTAGTGTCTTCACCAGTACTTTTGAAATTTGCAAACAATGGAGGGTGATCACTATTTCAGATTTATAACCCTGAGTCTTTTCAGAAGTTAATGGTCTTCTTAAAAATTTAATGAACGTTGTATAACTTCAAGGAACTTGGTAGATGTTTAAGAAAAGTTGCGTTCAGCAAATTTTGCAGAAGTGCTGAGAAGTTCGTAGAATTTAACTTAGGTAAAAATAAACGACACGATCTTTAGAAAAAAAAAATCAGTGGTTTTTGTAGAAATTTGGGCAACTTCGATTGTTACCGTTGGTAAAAACGAGCACCCGGTTGCGAAAGGGTTGCGGTCGGTGAAAGTGAACACCCAGTTGCGAATGGGCGAATACCGTGAACGCCCCGTCCACTGACAGTTCTCGACGGCTGATGAAGATGACCTAAATGAATGGCACACATACATGCGCATGCAGCTGATCGCGCAGTGGGATCAGCCATCGTAATTTGTTATTGTTGACACTGAAGATCGAAACGAGATGGTGAAATTCTCATCTTTTAATTTAGTGAAGTGAATTTGTCTGTCCACTTGTAGTTAATTAGCAAAATAAGTGTGAAGTCAATTTTGTATGTGCAATAGTTTATTGTAAATATTGTGAAAGTTATATTTGGTATTTTTGTAGATTTCGTCAGCTGATTGTTGGTCGATATTAGGTTTGCTCGTTCATGATATTTTGTGCTACTTACCGTGAGTTTGTTTGTATTTCGATAGTCAGTAAATGTAATAAATTAATGTTTTCAACATAGGTCCTCAAAACCGAGTATAGGAGTGTTGGCAGTGAGACTGGTAGTAGTTATATTGAGGAAAACTTAATGTAAGTTGTTTGTTATTAATGATAAGTGCATCTGTGATTAATGTTTGTTGTATTAAAATTTTAGTTTGAGTATCGCCGAGAGCATACTTTGTAAAATAGTTTTCTATGCTCGATCCGAAGGACTGCGAGCAACATTCTCAAAATTAAATGGCTGCGACCTACAAGTACCCGTGTTGTGACTGCAATGAATCGTACGATGCCAGCGTCCAGTGCGAAAGATGTGAAGAATGGTACCATTTCGAGTGCGTTGGTGTCGACGAATCCGTTGCAGAGGTCATATGGTTCTGCTCGACCTGTATCGGTGAGGATAGATCGATTCGTGAGTCGCTGGGGGCACCAGGACGGACCAGGATTCATCCGGTGGTGATCGATCATCCATCTGCTAATGCTGAAGGTAGCGGTACAGAGGTCGGTAAGGTAGCAAATAAGAACATATCATCGACTAAACGTCGCATAAGTAGGGCCCAAGCACAAGATGATGATAGCAATAAATCAGATCAGGAGCAGGAAAGTTCTGATGAAGACGAAAATCAAGACGTGGCAAAGGAAAAAGTAGAAGACCACGCAAAGTTCTTGAATGAGCTTTTAAAATCGTTTGATCGTTGTCATAGTCAACCCGTGCGCGTACAATCGAGTAAATCGAGTGGTAGCGGTAAAAGGGGACTCCGGAAAAGTGCCAGTGTACCGTCGGCAAAGTCTGCCTCGACACGTTCTCGTGCGTTGAAGGAACTTCGCGAACTGGAGGAGAAAAACAAGTTGGACGAACTCGAGGAGGAAAACCAACGGAAATTTCTGGAACTTCAACGAAAGCAGATTGCCAGACGAAAAGAAGCGCTCAAAAGGAGGATCGAATTGAGGATGATCATCAACGAGGATGCTGAAGATGATTCGGATTCAGTGAACGAAGAAGTGGAAGAATCGACGAACAGAAGCAGGAAAAAGCAGCCGGAGGAGCAGATCCCGAAGAGTTTGGGTGCAATTCCGATGGTTCCACGAAAAAGGTCTACCGAAGATGATATTCAGGACCTATATGATCGCTTCAAGAAACTTTTGGAAGAAAAGAATCCTCGAAAGTCAGCACCAAAGCTGCCCACCACGAAGAAGAGCACCAAGCGTGCATCGAATCCGGTACTGCCACGCCCTTCTTTTGAAAAGGATGATGACGCACTGAGATCAATCCTTGGTGGCGGGGACTCCGATGATGAAGTCATTGTGGAAGGACCAACACGGCTCCAAATAGCATCCCGTCAGGTCTTTCCACGGAGTCTACCCAAGTTCTACGGAGCAGCCGAAGAGTGGCCGATATTCATCAGCGCCTATGAGCAAGCAAACTTGTCGTGTGGATTCACCAACGCCGAGAATTTGGTTCGCTTACAAGACGCGCTGAAGGGTAGAGCGTTGGAAACGGTTCGGAACCGATTGCTGCTGCCAGAAAACGTGCCGCTTATCATTGAGAAGCTGCGGAAGAGATTCGGGAACCCGGAAATTCTATCAACCAGGTTAGCAACCAAAGTTCAACAGCTAGAAGGACCCAGCTCGGAGAGTTTGGAGTCGGTGATCGAGTTCGGAAGTGCAGTTGAAGAATTCACCCAGCATCTCAAGGCAGCAGGACTGGTTGACCACCTGAAGAACCCAATTCTAATGCAGAGTTTAGTCCAAAAACTGCCATCGTATTATGCTATGGAGTGGGTGGACTACAAACGTCGCGCTAGAACGGTCGATTTGGAGACGTTTGGTGGTTTCATGGAGGGTCTGGTGGAAAAGGCACTGGAAGCGACCTTCGAAAAAGCAGAGTTGGACGGAAAGGTCAAAAGAAAGGAGAAGATCAAGGCTTTCGTTCATGCTACAGACGGAAGAAATCAAGACAGCCAGCAAAGCCGGATGGAGTCGAAGATGGAGCAGAGATCGTCGAATCAGTTGCAGCAGAAGTCGCAAAGCCAGCCACAGCAACGAGAACTGAAGTGTTCGGTCTGCCAGAAGCCTGGACATTATGGAAGATATTGCCAGGAGTTCCTGAAACAGAGCTTGGACGAGCGGTGGAAAACAGTGAAGCGGTTGAACCTGTGTCCGCTTTGTCTGTACGACCACGGGCAACGATCGTGTCGCATCCGGATAGCCTGTAAAGTGGACGGTTGTCAGGAGTACCACAATGCTCTGCTACATAGTGGCCCGAGTGAAGGAACCTCGCGAGCTCGAGTGCAATGCAACAGTCATCGTCAGCAGGAACGTGCAGTACTATTCAGGATGGCTCCAGTGACGCTCTACAACGGCAAGAAGAAGATTGATACGCTTGCTCTAATCGACGAAGGATCGTCAATAACTATCGTGGATAGCGAATTGGTGGAATCGTTGGGAGCTGATGGGCCGGTGGAATCGTTGCAGATGTGCTGGACAAATGGTGTTCAGCGGACAGAGAATCGGTCGAAGAAAGTTACGCTCGAGATCTCCGCCAAAAATTCGCCGTATCGCTACGATTTGATGGAAGCCCTCACGGTGCACAAACTGGATCTCCCTACACAACAGATGGATTCCCGGAAATTGAAGGAGCAGTTCGAACATCTCAAGGACATACAGATTCCCAGTTACGAAGTAGCTGCACCGAAGGTGTTGATTGGAATCGACAACGCCCACCTGATCGCGCCATTGGACTCCCGAGTTGGAGATTCTGGTGAGCCTGTTGCAGTTCGTTGCAATCTCGGCTGGACGTTGTATGGCCCGCGTCCAAATGTCGTCAGCAGTGTAAACTTCTTGGGACATCATCGTTGTGTGTGTGAAGAATGTAGCATTGCAGATAAGAAGCTGGATGAAGCGTTGAAGCAGAATTATCAACTGGAGGAGGTCGGAACTTCGGTGATTCGATTGGAGTCAAGGGAAGATCGCAGAGCGCGTGAGATCCTAGAAAAGACGACCAAGAGAATTGGTGAGAGGTTTGAAACCGGACTGCTCTGGAAGGAAGATGACGTGCGATTCCCTGAAAGCTTTGACATGGCCTTGAAGCGGTTGCGAAGTTTGGAAGCTCGGATGAAACGAAATCCTGGGGTGCGAGAAAACTTGCAGAAGCAGTTGGAGGAATATCTCGCCAAAGGCTACGCGCATCGCATCACCGAGCGGGAGTTGAAAGAGACGCCGAAGGGAACGGAATGGTACCTACCCTTGAATTACGTGGTGAATCCGAAGAAACCGGGCAAGGTGCGATTGATTTGGGATGCGGCAGCGAAAGCACATGGCGTGTCGTTTAACGATAAACTGTTGACGGGACCGGACATGATAACTTCGTTGCCAGTTGTGATAAGTGGTTTCCGTGAGAGACGTGTGGCGTTTGGAGGTGACATCAGAGAGATGTTTCACCAAGCAAAGGTTCGTCTGGAGGATCGTCAAGCACAACGATTTCTGTTCCTGGGTCCGAACGGAGAGGTGGAGATTTTTGTGATGGATGTCGTGATCTTCGGTTCTAGTTGCTCGCCATGCTCTGCCCAGTTTGTGAAGAACCTGAACGCATGCGAACATTCCGAGCAGTACCCTGAAGCTGCAGATGCTATTGTCTGGAAGCATTACGTCGATGATTATTTCGACAGCACCGATACTGAAGCGGAAGCAGTCAAACTAGCGATGGATGTCAGAAAGGTGCACGCAAATGGAGGTTTCGAGATACGGAACTGGGTCAGTAACTCGGAGGTGGTCCTGCAGGAGCTTGGAGAGCCAAAGTGCGCGGCGAAGCCGCTAGAAGTGGACAAGTCCTGCGAATTCGAACGAGTCTTGGGGATGTTATGGGACCCGGAGGGAGATAACTTCATCTTCTCGACGGAGATTCGGCAAGACCTTCAGCCATACATTCGGGAAGGTGCTTGGCCAACGAAGAGGATTGCGTTACGGTGTATAATGAGTATGTTTGATCCGAAGCAGTTCTTGGCTCCTCTGCTCATACATGGCCGCATCATCATGCAGGATTTGTGGCGCAGTGGAATCAAGTGGGACGAAAGGCTGAACGAGAAACATTATGAACGGTGGGTTAAATGGACACAGTTATTCCATCTGATCGACGAGATCCGAGTTCCTAGGTGCTATCTGGGCAGACTAGATTCGAAGGCGTACGATACGGTACAGTTGCATGTGTTCACCGATGCTGGCGATGCGGCTTACGGGTGCGTTGCTTATTTCCGATTTGAGGACGGCGGAGTCGTTCACTGCGCATTCATCGAGGCAAAAGCGAAGGTGGCACCATTGCAGTACCTGTCTACGCCACGAATGGAGCTAGAAGCTGCTGTTCTAGGCGCGCGGCTGATGAAGTCAATCTGCGATAGTCATTCTGTTCCTGTTTTGAAGTGGTTCCTGTGGTGCGATTCGTATACTGTTGTGTCGTGGGTGAAGTCCGACCAACGAAGGTACAAACCTTTCGTTGCCCACCGAATCGGAGAGATTCTCAGCATCACAAACCCTGAAGATTGGCGCTGGGTAGGTACGAAGGACAATCCAGCAGACGACCTAACGAAATGGGGAAAAGGAACGGAAATCAAGTCGGAGAGTCGTTGGTATCGAGGTCCGGAGTTCCTGTATAAAGACGTGTCAGAGTGGCCGAAGCAGAAACGTCCGGTGGTTGAGGTTCAAGAAGAACTACGCGCAAGCATGCTGCTGCATCATATTCTTTTGCCTGAGGGGTTGATGGAGAGGATGCAGCATATTTCTCGGTGGACGGTGATGGTGCGAACGGTAGCAGTAGTGTTCCGTTTTGTGTCCAACTGTCGTCGTCGGATCAAAAAGATGCCGATCGAAGCGTTGCCGATTGATGCTAAGCAAGCTGGACGTATAGCGTTTGCAGCAGTTGAGGTACCGTTGCGGCAGGAAGAATATATGTCTGCCGAATCGTTGCTGTGGAGGATAGTGCAAGCAGAGGAGTTCGCGGACGAGGTGAAGACACTCATGAAGAATCGGGATTCATCTGTAGCTCAAGATTTACCACTGGAAAAGTCGAGTCCGATTTATCGCTTATCACCATTTCTGGATGAAGAAGGAATTGTGCGGATGGAAGGTCGGACCGAGGCGGCTGACTACGTGGCGTTTGATGCGAGGTTCCCGATCATTCTGCCGAAAGATCACGTGGTGACCAAGAGACTGGTGCAACATTATCATCGACAATATGGCCACGGTAGCAGGGAAACGGTAGTGAATGAAATTCGGCAGCGATACTACATACCTTGTCTACGCGTGTTGGTGGAGCAAGTGATGCGGGAGTGCATGTGGTGCAAGATCCGGAAGGCAAAACCAACTGTGCCCAGGATGGCACCACTACCCGAACAGCGATTGGCTGCGAAGATCGATCCGTTTTCAAACGTGGGCATCGATTATTTCGGACCGCTAGAAGTGACCGTTGGAAGAAGGAAGGAGAAAAGATGGGTGGCACTGTTCACGTGCTTAACTGTCAGAGCGGTGCACTTGGAGGTGGCGTACAGCCTGACGACGGAGTCGTGCAAAATGGCGATTAGGAGGTTTGTGAAGCGACGTGGCAGTCCGATTGAGATCTTCTCGGACAACGGTACGAATTTCGTCGGTGCCAATCGAGATCTGGTGAAGGAGATCAACGTTGCCTGTGCGGACACGTTCACTGGTGCAAGGACCCGTTGGACGTTTAACCCACCTTCAGCGCCACATATGGGGGGCGCTTGGGAGAGAATGGTACGCTCGGTGAAAGAGGCACTGCATGTCTTCACGGATGGTCGGAAGCTGACGGATGAGATCCTGCAGACTGCACTGATCGAGGCTGAGAACCTGGTCAACTCACGTCCACTTACGTACGTGTCAACCAACGTGAAGGAAGACAAAGAAGCGCTAACACCAAATCACTTCCTGCGTGGTCGATCGTCGGCCGAATGTCTACCGTCGAGGATTCCGGTGGATTTGGCTGATACGTTGCGGAGCAGCTATAGTCGAGCGCAGCAGTTAGCGGATGGATTTTGGGATCGTTGGCAGCGGGAGTATCTGCCGACCCTGAACAGACGGTCGAAGTGGTACTTGGACCATCGAAAAGTGGCGATAGGAGACCTGGTGTTTGTGGCTGATGGCGAAAAGCGGAATACCTGGGAGCGAGGCCTAGTGACGCAAGTGTTCGTTGGCAGTGATGGGAAAATCCGCTCAGCGTCCGTGCAGACCAGCCGGGGTGAGAAGCTGCGACCAGTATCGAAGTTAGCCGTTTTGGAGATTGAGGTGGAAAATAGTAATCCCCGTACTGTTCCCGAGTGAATCAGCGACAGGGTTTACGGGTGGGGGAATGTTACCGTTGGTAAAAACGAGCACCCGGTTGCGAAAGGGTTGCGGTCGGTGAAAGTGAACACCCAGTTGCGAATGGGCGAATACCGTGAACGCCCCGTCCACTGACAGTTCTCGACGGCTGATGAAGATGACCTAAATGAATGGCACACATACATGCGCATGCAGCTGATCGCGCAGTGGGATCAGCCATCGTAATTTGTTATTGTTGACACTGAAGATCGAAACGAGATGGTGAAATTCTCATCTTTTAATTTAGTGAAGTGAATTTGTCTGTCCACTTGTAGTTAATTAGCAAAATAAGTGTGAAGTCAATTTTGTATGTGCAATAGTTTATTGTAAATATTGTGAAAGTTATATTTGGTATTTTTGTAGATTTCGTCAGCTGATTGTTGGTCGATATTAGGTTTGCTCGTTCATGATATTTTGTGCTACTTACCGTGAGTTTGTTTGTATTTCGATAGTCAGTAAATGTAATAAATTAATGTTTTCAACATAGGTCCTCAAAACCGAGTATAGGAGTGTTGGCAGTGAGACTGGTAGTAGTTATATTGAGGAAAACTTAATGTAAGTTGTTTGTTATTAATGATAAGTGCATCTGTGATTAATGTTTGTTGTATTAAAATTTTAGTTTGAGTATCGCCGAGAGCATACTTTGTAAAATAGTTTTCTATGCTCGATCCGAAGGACTGCGAGCAACATCGATTGTTTTAACTTCGTCTTCTTCTTTTTCGCATTTCAAGCATATTTTGCTTGTCGCATATTTGCTTATTGCGTGCTCTCAACCTAGTGTTCTAGAAGCACTATTCAAAAGATCTCCAGCTAATCAAAGAGTTCCATGAAATCCTGTGGTTTAAGGTATTATTCAACATTTTCAAGAAAGAGCTTTAAATAAGAAGCAAAAATCTTCATTTCTGTAGGAAAAAATCTCCACATGTCTGCTTTAAATTAATAAAACCTTCGTATGTCATGTCTGTGACACAAAACGAGAAATTTCTTTAAAATGTCTACGGGAAAAAAAATCACAAATTTTCAAATGTTTTCAAAGTGAGCACATGTCTTCAAATCTGGCATCCCTGCTTGCTTGTCTCTAACAAATTAAATAAGGAACACTATTTCGAAGCAGTGATTGTGAAATGAAGAGAATGTTCCACCAAGAAATCTAATTCCCTCCAGTTTCGTAATCAAAAACGTGACCCAGAGCTAAAGGTATGCCTTATGACTGTGGACTAATGTCCGGAAGGTCAATGGTCAAACCAAAACATTTTAGCAACCAGCAACCATCCCCTGGAGTTGCTCGTCGTGATACTGTGCTATTATTTTTCACCTGCATGTTGCGACGGTGGCGGCTGCTGGTGCTGCTACCGTTGTTACAGAGTCTACACGTCAATTTCCAAAGCTTCCCCCTCAACCACCAGCATCTCCTTCTCCGTTACGCTATCTCTGCTGTCCATCGGTACCTCATCTGCCACCACACCAGCCTACATACTACTACCGATTCATCCTGTTTTTCTTATGCCTTTTTCGGTTGTTTCCTGACCTTCCGCTTGGACAGGAATTCATTCGGTGCCCCTCCAGCTTGCACAAGATGTATTTAATCTCGATCCCGTCATATTCCTGGCACGTCGGTAGCATTGGTGCTCAGCACGGAAAACAAGATCGACGGAAAAAACAAACCAAAGGAAAAAAAAATGTTTTCTCCACGGCCATATAAACACCTCGCACACCCAGCTTAGCAGGACATTTCTCGATGAACATTTCAAATCGTCCTATCTGCTTTGATCGATTCTCTTCATCGACTTTCTCTTTTGATAACCACGCCTACACCAATGAATTTCGTGCTATTTTTGCCACACAGTTTGATAGCAGAAATTACTATCTTGTGCTTAGAACGTTGAACACAGTAGGGAGTGTTGTTGAAGTTGAGTTATTAACGGAAGAGAAAGTCGATGAAGAGAATCGATCAATGCAGATAGGACCTTTTGAAATGTTTATCTAGATTTCTTCCGTATGACACGTTTACCTCTTCCGTATTTCCCTAGCACCAACATTGCATTATTTTCATCTAAACGATCTGTTTGCTGACCAGTCTTCTGGGTGCACTGATCAGCACGAACTTTCTTTTTTTGACGTTGGATAACGTCTTTCGGCAACATACGGGGGTACAAAATTGAAAACAGTCATTTTGGATGCGTTACGAAAAATTAAAAGATTTTGAACGATAATATTCGTTCTCCTTGTGCTTCGACATACGGCGTTTGTTTTTATTTTTAATGAAATCCTTTGTTGCGTTTGATGAGCTGGTGCTAGAGTTGCTTTCAACGTTTGAAGTGTGATGATCCTCGGTTTGATTGTCGGTGTTTCGCTGTTGTTCTTCTGCTGAGAACCCGGTGAAAGCAGGAGATGATTAACCCGATGTCGTTGGCTGGTTTTGTTTGATATCCATCGACGGGAAATGAACGAGACTGAATACCCCCTCGGATGGTGGAGCTGCTGAAGCGGTGCTATTGTTCAATGTGGCTACATCGAAACATTTTTGTTTGGGATGTGCTGCTCTGCCACAATGGCGGCACGTTTTTGGTTGCTTATCGTACGTTACCAACGTTTTTCGTTGTCGACCGTGATGTATGATGGAATGGCGCATTCGCAAAACTCGAACACCGCTCAGGAATCCTGGGAAGTAGTGCTTCCATTTCTCATGTCGACTGGAAATCACTGTCCCGTACTTTGCCATGTGGTTCATAACAGTGACTTGTAGCCATGCCAGAGGAAGGTCATGCACTCAAACGGTCACTGCTTCACAATCCACATATACCGGGATTTTGAACTCACTCTTCGCACAGAGAATCGCGTGTTTATAGTTGTGCGCCTTTTCTTAGCGCAAGGCAACTTCATTGTCTATAATCTCAATAACAACACAATTTCGGACGTTATGAAACTGAATGCATCTAACGTCTGAATATTGAAGCTTAATATTGTTCTAGAAGATTTTTTGCACTTTAAACGCATTGGGACGAACTGGAAGGACACTGAAGTCAACAACAAGTGTGTTTTTACGAACTATACTCATTTTCGCTACTATGTATATTTCACCAAGTTAAGCAGAGCAGAAAGAGCACACGTCCGATGAATACGAGTAATGGCTGTCGAATAAAATAGGCTTTGTAATGTAGAAACTTATTATGTTGTTGCAGATGAACGTTGAACTGCCACAAAAATAAAATAAATCATTTAAATCACTTAGCGAAACTCGGCTCTCTTCCCTAATAAAATTGTTATGGTTATTTTGCTTAACGACGTGTTCTGGGTATCTTCCAAACCATTAGTGGAAAAGTTCAATTATTTGGGTTATCGTTCGTTTATGGTTATTTTTATTAGGGTTGTCTTTCGGTTTTATAAACTTTCAATCAGATTTACGTTCGGTAGATTAAATTCCTAGAATTCTATCAACTTCTCGTCTATTCTGTTTAGTTCACTAACTTGGCAGCATTTACACTCATTCAGCATATCTTTTAACAATGGAGAATAGTTTCTTTCTTTCTGTGAAGCTAGCACGGGTGAGTGATTGTTTTTCAATAGTTCAAATGTCCAAAAGGACTCCGCGAAGCCGAGAACCATTAAATAACTTAATAATTACATTAAAATATTAGGAGGAACACAGTTTATGAGTTCTTCTTACTCTTCCTTCGAGGCGATTTGAGTTTCGGTTCCGCTTTTAGCCGTGTCCTCCACTCCCTTGCTTCTTCCAATTGTTTTTCTTTCAGCAGCGCCCGCCTCTTGGCCTCCTCTTCATTCTTTATCCGCTCCTTCTCGGTATAGTCCACTATCCCGAATTTGTGCACTTGAAAACAGGCGGCTGTTGTCAGAGTTGCGACCTATCACAATCACGATCGCCAAACAGCTGATGGTAGTAACGCTTTGTACATTCCTATCAATCTGCTCGTCGAAGCTCTCTCCATGACCATCCATCAAGTTGACGAAAGAAGTAAAAAGCAACTAGTGATTGTCGTCTTTTGTTGTGATCCGTCACCGATCTGGTCATTCCTGACAATCACGACACTCATCTGTGCTCGTTTTGAAGCAGTTGCTGCTTTACTTGCTCATTTGAGTGTGTTGGTGAGTGAACCCAACAGCTTCCGTTTCATGTTGCCTGCTTTGTTTGTAACTCACACAGTCGCGCCTGCCGAGACAAACTTGGAATGCGTAGGCATTGTTTTCATTTTTCTTCTGTCGTTTCGCTTTTTCTCATGATCGTACTGCAGAAGTCTTCACTGTTTTCGTTGTGCTTTTCATCATCAGCAGCGAGTGTAGCGTTTTGCTTGTGAGCAGCGACCATTACTAGTGAGTGTTGTTTGCCATGGCTCTAACTCTCACTGCGTGACAAAACGATCTGTCAGCGATAGTCGGTTGGTGCGAAGACGAGTGTCACGTGAGTGTCATGATATTTTGCATCACTGGCTGTTTGTTGTTTCTCAGCAGCGCTTGCTTCCTCTCCACTGTTCTTCTTGGCTTCCGAGCACGTCACATCCATCACCACCACCTCTTCTTACAGGACCTCAACCGCTTCCTTGTTTGGCGATGCACCTCCAGTCATTATACCAGCGTACGTACTAATCTCTTCCTAATTACGTTGGTTTTGGTTTGGTCACTGGTTGTCTTCTTCCATTCGTTGTTGCTTCCGATCCTTCCGCTTGGAGCAGGAATTCATCCGATGCTCCTCCGTCTTACAAAGAAAACACAAATTTGTGTTCCCTTGATAGAATATGTTACCCTTTCGATTAAGGAAATGCAGCGAGTTGGGAATCTCCTTTTTACATCCATATGTAGATCCCGCATGCCTGTGTGCATATCGAGGCCCAAGGCAGCTGGAAATGTCTCCCGAACTACAGGCATCACATCACCGTATTTCCCTAGCACCAATGCTAGATCGTTATCCGGGGCTCCTGGTGGGAGGTCGTACACTCTCACGAATCGAACGGTGCCCCCAGCAGGCGACTTGCCTATCTCGACTGATTTCCCATCGGCATAATCAGGGTGTCGACTACCTGGAAAATCAGGGAATTCCTTTTTGGACCTGGAAAATCAGGGATTGTCAATGAATTTCATTCTAAGTCAGGGAAATCTTTCTTTATAACAGAAACATATTAATAAGTATGGCTGACTTCGCTAGTTTCAAACAACCTAATTACTCGTTGTAGTTTGAGGATGGTTTTCAATTTCAAATTTTAAATAGAGTTGCGAAGTTGTGGTTGTTCAATGCTTGATGTTGCATTTTTGCAAGTGGAGCAAAAGTTACTCAAATAAAAGGGCATTTCGATGATTTTGAGCCTATTATAAATTCACCTCCCACTGGGTGTTGTTACATTCCTGAGTTGAACAGAGATAACAATTCAGTTCCGTAGAGACGCTAGACGTTGTTAGTTGTTGCAAAATTAAGCTGCTTATGGGAATGTGCGTCTCTTAGGGTTGATGCATATATTATGTCACGCTCTAAGGGAGGAGGGGGGGGTCTAAGATTTTGTGACAAGCAATGCATTATGTATAGGAAAAACGTCACGATAGGGGGAAGGGGGTAATTTTTTGCTCGATTTAGCGTGACATAATTAATACATGGGCCCTTAATAGATGTTATTCCTAATTGTCAGGGAAATAATTGCGGAACTAATTGCGTTTGACAAAATTTAACCTTCTAGTAGATTCTGCGTCTCTCGATCCAGCTTTGTCCAACAAAAATCAATCCCTTGAGCACATTGGAGCGCTTTTGAGTAAATGCAAGAGTGATTAAGAGTTAAGTTGGGCTTAGACAAGGCAAGTCATTGATCAACTCAGTTGAATTAAATTGGCTTGAAAAGTTGAGCCTAGTTCAACTTTTTTCAATTCCGTTCGTTAAATGGCATGGTTTACACGTTCAAATCAGTTGAATTCAACTGAGTTGATCAATTGACTTGCCTTGTCTAAACCCAGCTTTAAGAGAAGATAATGATTTTTTTCTCTGAATATGTCTAGTTCTTGTTCCTTATTGTGTTCTTAACAGCGTCATTAGCTCAGAGAACTAACATAATAAAAATAAAAGATGTTTTTTTTTTTGCGTGGAGTAGCACTTGTATGATTGAATAATGATTCAAAGATACGTAGACAAGCATTGCTTTGACAGCATAGAGTGGCTGTATTAAGTATTCTAGTCCTTCATTGTAAACCTAATAAGCTCGTAAAATTAGCTTCATTGTAAAGTTTTAGTATGGTAATGTTGCTGCTATTGCAATTTAGATGCAATTAGCTTACAGAATTTTGGAGATGAAAGCGTTGTTTTTACTATTTCCCACCAGAAGAATCCGCCCGTGAATTAGCATTTGGTTAAGCATATTATCCGGAATAATTTTCTTACGGAGCTGGGTCTCAAAATGTGCTCAAGGCAAAACAAATATAATGGGATTAAAAACAAGTGTTTCATATGTGAAATGCAGAGTGACCAGTGAACCGGGAAAACCGGAAAAAGCTGGAATTTGAAGTCATCGGGAAAATCGCATGAATTTAGTTGACAAATCTGGAAAAATATACCTCGTCCTCTCTTCGAAAATAATAAGATTTCAAGACCCTTGGACTGGTCTAGATTTTCAGGATAACTACACTCACTTTGAAGAACTATTAAGAGAATTTTATATTTTTTGAGTAGATTTTAGAATGAATTCTAGAGATAACACCAAGGTATTTCAGAAAATATTTTTTAGGGAGCTTTAGGTAAACCTATAGGAGAGTTTTTACTAGATCTCCCAAGAGTGAAGAGGATTCCAGGATTCTTGAAAAATACCAAGGAGCGCGAACGGGTACATAAATAATTATGCGAAGATCTATAAGGATATTCCGAGTAGAATTCCAAGCGCATTTCAAAAGGAATTTTTAGATTATGTTAATGAGAATTCCATGCAATATTCAGAAGAATTAAGATGAGGTCTGAGGGTGAATTCTACGGAGAATTTCATGCATTTAAAAAAAATGAAGCTCCTGTGAATTCATAGAAAGAGTTTAAAATTCAAAGAAAGGATGATTTTTAGGAATTTTTTGGAGTGTTATACAGAGAATTTATGTACTATTATAAAAAAATCAAGGAATTTCCAGAAAGAACTTCAAATTTTTTTTAGAAGAATTTTGAAAAGATCTCTGCGAAAGGAAATTAATCAAAGGGAAAGGCTTGAGAACAGTCAAATAAAAGCCTGTAAAGTTTTGAGCAAAATGTTCATATACAAATTTAGAAAACTTCGATCCTGTCGCAGATCCAAATTCAAGATCCAGCAAAGGTGCTGATGTCTTATAAATTACCCATTTAACCCTCAGCTTAATCGCATTCAGTTTTGTGCTTAATTAATATACCTAAACCGCGATAATTTCCAAACCGGAGAAAAACGGGAAAATTGCTAATCGAGATGCTGGTCACCATGAAGATAAAGGAGATTTGGATGAATTTATGCCCCTAGGGTACAACGTGGATCTTTACCGTTTTAGGCAACACGAGATTTCTGTCTTCTATAAAATGTATGGAACGCTTTATTTAATTCAAAATTGTACTAGACCACTCTTCCTGGATTTAGAGGTCCGTTAATTTTTCACGGTTGTGTAGCAAACAATAAAGCATCGAATCCTCTGATTTGAACTTGATGAACATAGATTTTTCCTCCGCTATGCGATATGAACGATCATCTAATTGGTTGAAATCCGCGTCCAGCGATTTCACAAATTTCGCAATTTCTTCCATTAATGGTTTCGTCGATCCATGTAGGAAACTGAATCTTATCGTCAGTTTTATTTCCACCGACATCTCCACTAGTTGTTTGCTTCCAACAGGGCAACGACAAAAGCGAACGAACTTCCAACAATGAGACGAAAACAAAAACAAACTACTATCGCGTGACTCGCTCCGAAAAAGACACAAATAGCTGCTTGTGTCGACTGAGCGAGTGAGTTTTATCATGCTTGATTGAAGCTATTTATTTATTTGTCGGCAATCAAGAGTAGACCGTTTGGATTCAAAGAAAATTAAAAACTGTGGAAGTGCATGTAGAAAACTAAGTTGAGGAGCACGCAATAAGCTAATATTTGATTATCGTAAGCTTAAAATGCGAAGAAGAAGAAGCTTTATAATTGAAACTACTATATGTAATAGATAGATAATAACTCAAATTGTGATGATCAATTCGCCCAAAAGTATTTCTCCTAGATTTAAAAAAACTCTACTCAGGTTCGAATAAACTAGCATAGCATAGCACCTTAAAACCCAATGACGAATCGCATACCACTAATAAGCGCAACTGCCACGTCCGTATTACCTGATTCTGCATTCTCGTTGGTGACAATGTTTCGAACCAAATGTTTGTCGTTTATCGATAATTATCTTTTTCCCTCAATTTTGAATCGTAAAATAAATCCATCCGGTACCGGCTGGGAATCAGATCGAGGACAATAAAACCCTGACGAAGCTATTTGTCCGCAACCCGAATGCTAAACACTGTTGCATTTGTTCACGCGCCGGGCACCAAGCGCACGCGTGCAATGCAGCGTTTAAGATATTTGGCCAGTTGGTCCCAACGACCGAGGTGAAGAGCTATCAACATGTGTATCCATTTCAACGCTATCGGCGGCAGAACCATGGCGAAAAGTTTAACCAGTTCAGCGACATGACGGACTATCGGCTCAATTTCGATGAATCTTTTGCTGCCAATGAGAACAGTTTTTACTACCGTTTCGCGAAGTCTGTTGGAATCGTGGAGGAAAAGAAGCGAAAAGAAGCTCGTAAGCTGAAACGGGCAGCAAAGAAACAGAAAACCGTGGAAGGAACTCTGAGTGAACCGGTAGTGATTGATGATGACTCGATGAAAGCAGACGATCAGCCAAGCAGCTCCAATACGGTTATCTCTCATAGAAAGGCTGTTAACGAAGATTCGAACTACAGTTTCTCTGAATTTTATGAAGATAAGGCTGCCAATCTACCTCAATCATCCGATCATTTGCCGGACTATATTCCTCTGATTTCGTCCGAGACCCTGGTTGCCCCAGCTAGTGTGGAACAACTGAGAACTGATGCCAAAATTTTCCTCACCAAACCGCACGCCAAAATTCTGCTCGGACCCATTGGTGCCACGTTTCTTAAGGATGCGTCATCCAAATTTGCCCTGAAGGTAAGCATTTCATTCCAATCGGTGGGAAACGTTCTGTTAGCGAACGGATTATCAGCCGATCAGGATAACTTCCACAATGAGTTAGTGAAATTTCTCAATGATGCTTCTCATCAAAACGAACAATTGAAGCTTATCAATAATGTTCCGAAAGCTACCGAGAAAACCATACGCTATATCACGGAACACCTTTTGCTGCTAACCCGGCCTTATGGCAATGCCAGGATATTGTTCAAACGATATCAGCATTTCGAAGAGCAAGGGGCTAACGTGAAGACCTGCGACAAAATTCGGCGAACGTTGAATATCATTCTGTTCGGTCAGTACGGTTTGAGAGCCGGTCGTGAGCATCTAACAAAACTGCAGTCAAACCTAAGAAATCTGCAAAGCACTCAGGATGTGAATGTATCGGTAGATTTTCGAGACGAGATCAACCAACACATTCGGTACATTTTTACCTCCTTCGATCATTCAAATTATGAAGACATTTTGAATGAATATGAGCAGCTGCGGAAGACCAAAAAGCTACATAAGATTAAACCTAAAGACCTAAATCTGCCTCCGCTCTCCCCAATCAAGGGCAGCGACACGACCGAAAACTTCGCAGACGATTCGTTCAATGAGTTCAAAGATTTAAACTTCGCTGAACGCAACACTGCCGTAGATTTTCTCAGTTCCCTCGACGAAGATCTAATCCTGAATACCTCCGATCAGTTGATCGACCCACGGAAAACTCCAGCAGACTTCGATGAACATTCAGATTCGGGTCAATTAAAACCAGATTCACCTCCAGCCAGTTCACTCCCAAATCCTACGCCGAAAGTGAAGCACAATTCCAAGCAGCATAGGGTGGATACCTTGCTGGAGGAATGCAGTCACATGGTCAAAATGCTGAACAGTGTACCGATTACCGCAAAATTCGAACGAATATGCAGTCAAACCCGGCACGGACACTTATCCAAAGCCAACTACCGTACGCTCAAGGGAATCCACACGGTACTGAGAGGTAAGCTTAATCGGAAGTTATCATTTAGGAAGAAAGGGGCCGTTTAGTTAGTTGTCTTGTTTTTAATGATGATGTCGGAGTTTGAACTGGAATAATAGGCATCTCAAAATTACTATTATAATTTTGTGTAATTTACTTTTCGTGGATGGCAACATGGTTGCGTTTTATTTTCAATAGAGAAATGTGAAGTGTATCTAGTGCGTACTATTTCATTAGAAAGAAAGTCCATGGTGGAGATCGAGCCGTAAAGTGCCATAATTTCGTGCAGTTTTGAAAAATAAGTAAATTGTGGATAATTTTGATTGAGTCGAAAATTAATAGTTTCCCCTGTTCAATCCTACCCTGTTAAACTCTACGTTATCAAAATCGGATTAAAAAGAGCCAAACAATCATTGAATATCCCTAAGCAAGGGGGGCGACACATCTAAATTTCAATTCTAAATAGATGCTCAACAAATCTCACACTACTGAATCAATCTTCGAAAAATCTTCTTTCATTTCTCGAATCTACTTATGCATCGTGCATCATCTTTTTGCAGGAAATCTAGATAAACATTTCAAAAGGTCCTATCTGCAATGATCGATTCTCTTCATCGACTTTCTCTTTCGTCAATAACTCAGCTGCAGAACCTTTCCCCACAGACAAACAGACATAACACTCGCAAGTTGTTCATCGAACAAGCATTTAACGGTCACTTTAAAAGTATCGTAGTTCGTAATACCGCCACCTGTGGCGCGCATAATCATTTCCCTTGAGTTTGACATTTACACACTACCGCCATCTGTTCAGCGTACTACCCACCACAGTGTACTCAACAGATGGCGGAAATGTTTTAGCGACGATGTTTTACAGTGAGAAATATTAAATGTGTTATGTCTGATTGTCTGTGCTTTCCCTGTTGTATTTGACGTTTTGGACGCTAGATAAGAACTTCCTTTATCAAACTATGTGGTAGAATTAGCGCGAAATCTATTTGCAGAGCAGTGGTTATGAAAAGAGAAAGTTGATGAAGAGAATCGATCAAAGCAGATAGGACCATTTGAAATGTTCATAATCTTCAGAATCGTCATCAATATTCTTTCTATCTACTCAGCGTGCGCGCAGCTAACCAATTTGTTTCCTGCATCGTAGATAGAGTCGCACCCCTCGCCCCTAACGTTCTAAATAACGCCAGCTATCTGGACTGTGCATCCCACACTCCCTATATCTTGCTCCACTTGGTCTAAGTATTTAGCTCGCTTGAGCTCCCCTGCCTCTTGTACAGGTCACATTTGAAGCAAACATCATCTTTGTTCCATTGTAATGTAGTGTTGTATTCTCACAAAGTATTCCGCCCATTGTTCCCTTCCAGCTTTGGTGACTTTCCTGATACTCGGCTCGCCAGAGTTGCGACATATACCTACCCCGTCAAATATGGTCTCAAGGACGCGTCATAATTATGTTTGTAATAAAAAGAGCTTGGTAGCCCAGGGGGAGGTTGTTCATTGAAACTTCCGGTCCGCTTCGTAGCATAGTGCTTGCTAATTTGTTTATTTGTTTATTTGTTATGGTTGCATCAACAGACTAGAAATAGTCCCAATGATGTGTTGTAAAAAAGTACAGATTATACAGACGACATACATATACTACAGTTACTACAGTTACAAACGAAAATAACTTGGAAAGCATTGTCAAGTTACTAAAAATTTATAAGTCTTAAATTTTACACTTAGCTGTTGGGTATCAAGCGCCTTCGGTCAGCAAAAAAGGCAGAGAATCTTCGGCGAAGCATATTCCGTGTCAAGTGGAAATCGAACATCGACGCTACTCGGTTGAACACTAGCTGCAAGCCGTAAATAGCGCTCCCTATGCTATAATTAGTTCGAAGAAGTGGAAGTCTCAGCATAAGACTGTTGCGTAGTGATCGAGGTTGAACATTAATGTTCACTTGTTGCAGAATTGCTTCGCAGTCAATTCTTCCTTGCAGAGTATCGGCGACGGTTAAGGCTCTGAAAACATCTCTTCGGATACGTAAGGGCTCGATATTGATCAATTGGCAGCGATTCTCGTAGCTTGGAAGACGAAGTGGGTATCTCCAAGGCAGCTTACGGAGCGCGAAGCGAAGAAAACGTCGTTGAACAGATTCAATTCGCTCGGCCCCAGTATTGTAGTTCGGGCTCCAGACAGCAGAGCAGTATTCCAACGTAGATCGTACGAGAGAGCAATAGAGCGATTTCAAGCAGTAAATGTCCGTGAAGATCTTAGTAATCTTGAAGACAAAGCCAAGCGTTCTGGACGCTTTGTCGACGACATACGATATATGGTGTGAGTATGTCAGCTTTGAGTCTAGAAAAACGCCTAAGTCTTTCACGCAGTGCACCCGTTCGATAGTCGTGCCTAGTAGTTTGTAGTTGAAAATAATCGGTTGTTTCTTGCGTGAGAAAGTAATAACTGTACACTTAGCTGGGTTGACCACCAGTCGGTTTAGACTACACCAGTCAGCAAAGATGTCAATCTGATTTTGGAGAGAACGGCAGTCGGCGAGTGAGCGGATGCGCAGAAAAACTTTCAGATCGTCTGCAAACGATAATCGTGGCTCTGTGATAACATGGTGAACATCGTCGAAGTAGAGGAGAAATACCAATGGTCCCAGATGGCTGCCCTGAGGTATACCGGACTTTGCGCAGAAGCTTGCTGAGCGACAAGTACCCAAAGTTACTGTCAATTGGCGCTCCGTGAGGTATGAACGAAACCATCTCAAAAGATTTCCACCGATCCCTAGCCTATCAAGCTTAGCGATCGCAATTTCGTGGTTCAGCTTATCGAAGGCTGCCGTAAGATCTGTGTAGATAACGTCCGTTTGGGTCCGAGCAATCAAACTGTCTGTGATGTAAGACGTTAGGCACAGCAGGTTCGTAGTTGTGGAACGCCCAGTTATGAATCCGTGTTGATCTGTACTTAGATATTGTCTGCAATGCGCATTTAGGGACTCTATGACAACCAATTCAAAAAGTTTTGATACAGCACTCAGCGATGTGATTCCCCGGTAGTTGTTTACGTCGCGTTTGCTTCCCTTTTTATGAACAGGAAACATATCCGCAGTCTTCCAGCAAGACGGAAAGATGCCGCTGGAAAGAGAGAGCTGGAATATGCGGCGCAGTGGATCTAAAAGACAAGTGATGTTCTTTTTAAGAATAATCGACGGAACACCATCGGGTCCAGCCTTAGTTGAAGTCTTAAGTTTAGATGCTGCTCTAGAAATCGTATCTGTAGTGGCTTCGACCATGCTGAGCGTTTGGTTGATCAAAGGAACATTACTGGCCGCGGAAGTAATGATATTAGCGGAGAGTTGCTCGGCTACAAACACACTAGCAAATTTGGCTGAGAACAGGTTGCAAATGTCTTGTTGATTTCCAGCAGTTTCACCATTAAAAATCATGGAAGAGGGTAAGCCGACTTCCCTGCGTTGCTCATTTACGAAGTTCCAGAAGGATTTCGGGTGTGATTTTAGCCGCCGTTGAATCCTCCTTTGATAGCGTTGAAAACAGAGACGACTTAACCGCTTATACTCGTGGTTGAGTCTGACATAGTAGCATTTCAGTGGCAGTGTGCGGAGCTTAGTAAATCTTCTGAGAGCAGCCTTCATAGTTCTTTTCAACGAGCGAAGATCTTTCGTCATCCACGGGACGCGAGAGTCGATATGGATGATCTTTTTGGAAACGTGTCTGTCAATGACATATGCCAAGACGTGAGAAAAGGTTTGTGCAGCAATGTTGACGTCTACAGGATCTAGAATATGCTCCCAATCTAGATTAGACAGCACATGGACGATACTGCAATGGTCAGCTCTACGGAAGTCATATGACACAGCGTTTGGAGTGCTGGTGAAATCATGGACAATATTATTTTCGATCACGATAACTAAAGCAGGGTGATGATGCACTACCTTGACTAAAGGTTCGGGTGCCGTGGAGAGGAAAGGAGCTGTATCACGAGCACTCACAAAGCAGAGATCCAGGGTGCGGTTGTTTTCATTCAACAGGCCATTGATTTGTGACAGAATTGCGGTACTATAACTGTCCAGGAGCTGGATGGTTCCTACGTGGAAAGATGAACGCTCGTGATCAGGACAAAAGAAACCACTATGGGTTGGAGTCCATGCAATGTCCGGTAGGTTAAAATCGCCAAGAACAATAACTTCGTCGGAAGGGCCTGCTTTGTCTGAAGCGGCCAAGACGGATCGACAATGTGCGTCAATAAGCTCCAAGTCACGGGTTCGATCTGGAGGAATGTACACTGCACAGAGAAGCAATTGACGATCACCAAGTTGAATAGCCACCCACATTTGTTCAACCCTGTTCCAGGAATCGTCCTCGATAACTTCTGCTTTCAGCTTGGAATTAACTGCGATAAGGACGCCTCCCCCAGTAGTTTTCCTACTATTATTCGTGTTTCGATCGCAGCGAAATATTTCGTAGCCAGCACCAAAGACATAGTTTGAAATGGTTCGATAATTGAGCCATGTTTCGGTCAAAACTAAAATGTCGTAGCAGTGATCCATGACGGCCAGATGATAATCTTCCACGAGGCCGTTCATTCGGGAACAACGGAAGGTTCAGCGTGTAGTTGCATTTGGGAGCTGGTAGATGTCACTTGACGGAGGAAGGATGTTCGAGTAGGGTCGCTGGAAACCAAGATATTTTCAGGCGATAATATATTCGTCGGTTGATCATACTTGCCAATAACAGGAATGTGGAAGACCCCTTCTCCCATCTCAAACGCAGGGCCGGGAAGCTAAGAAGTGCCAATTGGTAACCCACTGATTACCTGACGATCGGCCGAATTTGGAAGACGTCTGTATTGAATTGTCTCACATTGTAATATTCCGCCCACTATATCACAATCAATTGCGAGTAGCTGAGCGGAATGGAGACAAGGAAAGCATTTGGTACAGGACCAAGTCTCTCCCGGCTGGCGCCAAAACAATGAACCTGGAAGCAACTGGATCAAGTTGTCATGGGGCACGAAACGATCCTGTTGCATGGCTTGGAGCTGTTGCAATCGAGGAAGGGGGGGTTGGTGCTAATGTTTGATTTGTTTTTGTATAATTTCAGGTGTTAAGGTGGCTCGCTGACTCTGGATAGTGGGTTTGACGGTGGTTCAGCAAGAATAATATTGAGACATACGGGAATGCAACAAACGTGTCAAATTAACTGCATTGGTAACGAAAACACAGAGGAGCGTATCAAATCAGGTTGGTCAACGTACCAAAATTCGAAACTTCGATTAAAACGTGGAATCTGTGCAGCACCAGTGGAGAACACTCAAAAGCTACAGGTCTAATCAACCGCTGCCTGCGGTATATAACTTGTGGCTGGTGGCCTCACAAATGGATCTGAGATGTAAATGTCATCAGAAGCCGATAGCAATAGAAACGAAGTCTGCAGGCAAGCGTTTGATTATGAATTAAATCCGCCAGAACATCGCAGCAAAGGCAAATACTAAGGCGACGGAGCGTCAACAAGTAAATTAAGCAAGCCGATAGGAATTTGACTTGGACCCAGGTCAAGCAGCTGCCCAGAATGGAAGTCTTTCACGTTGGCCCTGTGCACCTCTGGATGTTTCCAGGTATTTGAGTACGACGACGATGGACGTTACCCCTTGGAACGGAATGAAAGCGAACAAACTTGATGTTGCACAACAAGCCAACGTTTTTTATTTTTTCAGCTGAACAACAACATCCTCTATCTCTCTTCTTTATTCTTTTAATCTCTTACTATCCCCTAATCGGACGCTAGTGGGACCAAAAAGCCTGCTAGTGAAAGGAAAGTCGTTATGCTATACGTTATGCTATACGGGTAATTTCCGTAGGTTCATGCCTGGCTTAAGTTCAGATCGGTAGGCAGTAGCCTGCCAGGGTGTGAACTGAGCAATAACAATAACAATAACAATAAAAAGAGCTTGGTAGCCTGGTGGCGACCGATTTTGCTTACTGAATAAGAGTTCTTGCAATCCCTTGTTTCTTCACTTCTTCAGAGTTCTTGCAATCCCTTCTTTCTTTTCTATTTTTTTTTATAAAAAAACGAGAAAAAAAATGAAAAAAAAAATATAAAATTCTTTGCACAAATGTTGACTACTTTTCTTGAGGTTCTAGAAGAAAAAATCTCAAAATAATGTTTTATTTCAAAGTTCGAATGGTAGTAAACGTCATTTTAACTGCTCGAATGAAGTGTTTAATTCAACGGCGGATCACAATTCCGAGCCCCCCATTGCACTTTCGATTTTTATTGAAGCCCCCATGTGGATTTGCGGGTGAACTTTAATGTTTGTATGAGAAAATATATGGAAAACAGAACGAACCTATTCAGTTGCTCGTCAAAATTTCATAAATTGCTCAAAACTATGCAGAACAACTTTGTTGAAGACTGCATATCGATTTGACTTATATGCTAAAAGTTCGTGCTTAAAATAGTTCGAATCAATTTTCGACAAAGCTATTTTGCATAGTTTTCCCGATTGTACGACTGACTGAATTATTCACTGCCTCGTGAGCGAAGGCAAGCGGTGTGAGTGACTGAATGGTTTTGGTGGCTCTTTCATTGCCTCGTGCTTTACCGTTTGGTACATACGGTCTAGATAGAACAATGAATTGAATAGAGCAGTGCTTTCACACTCAGCCTAAGCAGTCAACGCTGTGGCCCGAAAAGGTTCAGCAGCTGCATGATGCCGTAGCTGAGCTTAGCAAAATAAAGTTGATAATTTTTCGACTAAGCCACAACGCACCCAATCAGTGAGTGTTACTCCAGTTTGGCCCAGACCTAGGCGCGTAATAGAAATGTGACACAGTAGGAAGAATTGTTAGTTTGTTTACTAAAATGAACTATGCCCATTTTGTTATGGCAAGTTTTGCTATTAGAAATGCTCCTCGTGTTTATTAGCGAAATTCACATCAAATGTTGATTAATTGCGTTGGAAATCAGTTGGGCACGGCATTTGTGACCAGCATACACCTTCTGGTCGTATGAAGTAAGTCAAAAACTGCCCGAATCCGTCCATAATTTTTATTTTTTTTTTATTTTCTGTATGGCAAATTAGTGAACTTTTCGTGAACATTAACGGCAAATAACTTACCAACACTGAGAAACCGTGAGCTCCTGACCACCTGTGATATTACCCGCCTACACCGAAAATAGTTTTCATGTAGCTACCATTGGAAACGCAAATGATTTTCATCCATAAACAAAATTAATGGAATTCATCTGAATTTCACGTAACATTTATGCGATCGATTTTTAGCTATGTGATCACATGAAAGCTATGTGAAATTCACATGGTTTTCATCCATTAGAGATGTGATAAATTTTTTGAGTGTAGGGCTAAGACTTATAGCGAATTCGTTTATTAGCGGGGTTAACACCAGTTCCAACCCAGTGCGAAACGGAACTTTTTGTCAGTGTGAACCTCAACCTGAGCTAGGTTTTAAAAACAAACGAGCAAACTGACGTTTGTCAGAAAACAAGCAGACCCAATCTTGATACCCGATCCAGGTTGGAACTGAATAATAAACGAATTCGCTATGAGTGTGAAACGCCGTGGAAGACCGCCTTAATAAAATTCAAGCTGAACATTGCATTAGGTCCTAATTAACATTGATCGATTCTCTTCGTCGACTTTCTATTTCGTTAATAACTTGAGCACATAACCGTTTCTTGTTGTGTTTGTCGTATTAAATGCTAGATAAAAGCTTCTTTTATCGATCTGTGTGCTGAAAATAACTGGGAATGTCTTTACATGGCCGTGGGAATACAAAGAGAACATCGACGAAGAGAATCTGTCAATGTTACTTAGGACCTAATGCAATGTTCAGCTTGAATTGTTATGGTTATTTTGCTTAACGACGTGTTCGGTGTATCATCCAAACCATTTATGGCATAGTTCTATTATTTGGGTTATCGTTCGTTTATGGTATTTTTTTATTAGGACGACTCGATATTGATATGCCAATTGCAAAAGGAACGAAGACAATTCGACAGTGAGCATTCATAAGGGCGTATACGCGATGATCGATTCTCTTCATCGATTTTCTCTTTTGTTAATCACTCGCTAGATTTAACGTTTGTCGGTGCGTTTGCTGTTGTTTTTGATAGCCAATGCAACCTGTTACAACTCTACATTGAACAAATTCTACAAAATTGTTTCGCTTAGCTGTAGCAATGCTAAGAGAAAATCGATGAAGAGAATCGATCATCGCGTATACGCCCTTATGCATGCTCACTGTCGAATTCTCGATGAACTAGTTTTTACTGTTAAGAAGCGTCGACTATGAAGTCGAATTTCTCTCAACAGTTTTACGTATGTTGGAAATTGGCAGATAATTCCCGGCTTCAAAAATTATGTCGTGTGCTAAGATTTTTACGGGTGTGATTTATGATTCAAAACGCATTTAATCCCGTAGGAAACCTATCTTCTTTTTTTATTTGTTACTTTAGTAATAGGTTACAACTGCGTAATATGTAGAATAATGAATGCACAAACACTTCCAAGCGTTCTCGATCAAGATAGATACTTTTCGAATAAAACTTTCTTTTTATTTTGTCCTCTTAGTTATCTTACTGCAATCGCAAAATGTTCACACGGTTCTATTTTCACTTCAAGTTGTGCAGACGACGGTTCAAATCTTCAAATTTCATAATCTTGCGGATAAAGAAGTCTCCATAGCGGTGCGATACCTTCGTGTCGGCAATGTGAATCATATCCTTGTCGATGTAGAAGTCCAACTCCGAACCGGACTGGAACTTGCCCTCCAAGCCGCTGGCGCCTTTAGTCCAAACGATGTTCTTCATCTTATGCTTGAAGCATAGCAGATGGGTTAACAGATTTTCAATCTTCTGCTCACCGATTTCATCCTGGGGAATGTGATCCATGAACGAGGCCAGCTTCAGCAACGGAAGAGTGGTGTACAGTTTCAAGTAAGAGCGGATCGTAGGCAACTCCTGCTGTTGGCGGACTTCATCCATGAAAACGTTGGTTTGATGTTCCAAAGCTTCCTTCACATAATCGTCGACCGCTGCGTCGGATGGGGGTGGTACAGGAGACACAAATTTCGGGCAGGCAAACACGAAGAAATTGCGGAAGGTATCCAAATCACCACATTGCATCTTGTACATGTTATCGTGGTAGTTCTTCTCGCGGAGTACCTGTTGAATCGATTCATCAATGCACTGTGGGTGCAACACCAGGCAGATGGCCAGCAGGTGGTACATCTGATCAGTCTGCTTGTTGATCTGGTCATTCTGGTAGGAACGAGCGCTATACAACTGCTTGGTACGTTGAATGTACAGCAAAATCGACGAGAACGTACGGATTGCATCAGAGTAGCGCCTCATCATCATGTAAGCGAATCCAACGTAGTAGGAAGTCGAGATTTGACAAGCCGGAATATGTGAGTATGGACTCTTCTTATGAATCTCGATTGGTTCCAATACCTTAATAGCCTGATGATAGTCACCCAGCAGTGAATGTACACGCAAAAGCCCAACCAAGCTAAAGTAGCCCAACATCTTGTAGAACGAATGGCGTCCAAACTCGCCGGCTACTTCTTCCGGGTCCCGTCCAGCTGCAGCAGCTTCCAGCTGATCCTTGATCTTCGACATCGATACCAGCGAGTGGAGAACGTTCAGAATACACAGGATATTCCAGACCTTGCTATTGTTGTTCAACAGCATGTCCATTTCCTCTTCGGACTTATCTGTTAGCCTGGCACGATATTGGGCAAAGTTCTGGAACTGGTAGACAAACTCATCAATCAACTCCCACAACCAAATATCGGGCAACTCCAGCTGCACAGGTTCCTTCGAGGGCAAAATGTAGTTGAAGAAGTTGCAATAGTTGTAGAACGAGTTCAACCGCTGTTCCAGAGATGGGCCACCCTGGATTCTAGCGTGGAGATGACGATAGTACAGCTCCTTATACAAGATCATGAACAGACTATCATTGTCTACCAGATGAGCAACTTCATCCTCGCTGGGCCAAGCCTTCTTCTCGAAATGCTGCTCGCTCAGCTTCGGGAAGGTATTCTCATACAAGTTCTGGATTTCATACACAACCCCTCCTTTAATGACACTGCAGAAGTACACCAGGAACTTTTTCACATCCTCGTGCATTGGGAAGTACGATCGGTCGTACAGGGCATCATCGGCGTTCCCAGTATCGTAATTGTAGTCATCGTAGCCCTTAAACAAGTGGAAATAGGTTATGTTTCGGGAATTTAATTTTGGAAACGGTAAACATAGAAAACTATTTCATTTCTCGATCGGAAAACACACCACGGACTTACCTCTTCAGCATAGTTTTCATTTGAATACATTTTTGCGACCAGAACGGACGGTTTAACCGGAAAATTTCGGAAAATATCACCCAGGAAAATCAGACACGCAGCAAAGCAATCTTTACGTGCAGTTGAAGAGAGGACAAGCGAGAAAGTTTCTGCGGTGAACGCTGTCAGTCACAGTTTCGAGCTGTCAAGTTCAGGTTTGATTAGCGGGAGAGGGATTTCGGTGCACTCGGTCGAGGGATAGGAATATTAATCATTTCATTCAAGCAGTTATTGCTGATTGCATCTGAAACAGGGCTGCTCCAAAAATGTGATAAAAGTGCACGTTTTCGTCAAATCTGTCGTTTTTGGGAGCACTTATTTCATGCAGCATGGAATAAGCAACAATCAATACGAAACTAACGATTTTAAATTGGCTCACCACTTTAGTAGCCTATTGGTCCCAAGCAAACGATTAACGTACCCTATTCTAGTTGAAATTCTATTACTACACTATGTTTGTTTTGATTCGCTATGAAAGTTTGACAGATAACATCAGGGGTGTGTGGATTCATGCAGAACATGCAGGGGTGAGTGAAATAGCTTGGGACTGCTTGGGACCGTTGTTCTGGTACTGAGTGAGCCAAAAATAATAATGATTTTCTTCGGGACCCAGTGGTCTTAGAGTTACCCTAATAAAATTGTTATGGTTATTTTGCTTAACGACGTGTTCCGGGTATCATCCAAACCATTTTGGGAATAGTTCAATCATTTGGGTTATCGTTCGTTTATGGTATTTATTTATTAGGGTACCTCTATGGAATAAGTGTGTATTCGTGAAATTTTACTTGAAGATATTTATTGGCTTGCAAAATAAAATCGATCGACTTCGCACCGCAGGCTTCCAGTGCGCGCGCTACCGTATGCGAGTCGCAATACGAATAGTCTCATAGTCATAGCAGTCTCATGCGCAAGAGATTTGTAGTACTCTGTTTCTCTCTCATCAGTTTTGTCGCATCTCACATTCTCATAATGTCTGTATGTCGCACTGTTTTGTAAGCACAGCACATTTCCGGATGTATGCGTTTCATGAGAACGAGTATCATGTGACGTCGCGTGAGGCGAAGCTCATGCGCTTTTCTCAATGAGACGTCGCTAAGCGACGTCTCAATGCGACATCGAAATAACAAACTCAACTGGAAGACCAACTCGTGTTCTTGATGTGGGAAAAGTGTTGTTTTGTTTTGAAAACGATGGAAAGCAACCTAGCTACTACACTCTTATCGAACATGGAGAAGAGGTGTCAGATGGCTATGACCAACAAAGTTTTTCTAGCCGCAATTTTCGTTGACTAAAGGATTAACTTGAAAAATAGCCCATTCATAACGAACGAAGGAAGAGATGTGGCTTTGGTAAGCGAAATGTACAATCAAGCTGTGGTTTATTTGCTCGTTTATATGCTTTTTTTCAATTTCACCGAGGGTCCACGGTACTAACACTAGGACTTTTTGGAAATCTGTTGTCGCAAATTGATTGTTTCAATTCAGCATCATGGTGGCTGGTACACGCAAACCAAAAATCTATTACAATGAATGTTAGTTCCATTTTCTATCATCCTCTGTTCATGAACATCGCAGCGAATGTTAGAAGTTGACTTTGCAGGCGATGTAATGGTTTTTTGCCTTTTTTATTTCGTGTTCTGTCTGTGCTTTCACCTACACAAGCAAGCATTTGCCTTGATTTTTATGTATAACATGATAGAACGACGCACACCCTTGCCTCGAATCTCTCCAGCAGAAAAAGCATATACGAAGTCGAGTGTGAGAGGAAATGAGCGCTTCTTGTTTGCTTTTAGGCTATCCTTATTCAGAAGCACGGAGAGAGCAGTGGAGAAAGCACAGGTCTGATAATCGCAACGTTCGTTGTTGTTCGAGTCCAGTCGGCAACCTTTTTCCTATTTTTTTTCGACATAATTAATTTACCTCACTAATACCAACAATCAATACGAAACTAACGATTTTAAATTGGCTTACCACTTTAGTAGCCTATTGGTCCCAAGCAAACGATTAACGTACCCTATTCTAGTTGAAATTCTATTACTACACTATGTTTGTTTTGATTCGCTATGAAAGTTTGACAGATAACATCAGGGGTGTGTGGATTCATGCAGAACATGCAGGGGTGAGTGAAATAGCTTGGGACTGCTTGGAACCGTTGTTCTGGTACTGAGTGAGCCAAAAATAATAATGATTTTCTTCGGGACCCAGTGGTCTTAGAGTTACCTCTATGCTAATACACTCTACATTTTTCGGTCTCCAATTTTCTTGCAATGGACCGCAGCTAGGTATATCGCATCCTCGGTTCAGGCGGTCTCCACTTACATCCTCTGATGATGAATCCCACATAATTGTAAGCGAATCTTACATCCACCGGTTGGGTGTATGAACTATCCTGTAAGTATCCACTGCTGCCGTGGTAAGTTTTGTTGATTGACAGGTATTCAATACAATTCCTGAAGCAAGAAGCTTAGCAACAATCCGTAATACAGATATGACACAACTTTTTCCTAAATTTATTACATTAACCTTAATCCAGCATTTCGTACCTACGTACACTGTGGTGCAAAGTTGATCGGACAAAGGTTGTTTTCATACAAACTAGCCAAGTTTAACATGTTGTAAATGTGTTCTGTTATGATCAATTGAGTTGAAATTTTGACGCAAAACTACAAATATGTTGAATTTCACGTGTAAGAAATACCAAATTTTTTGAAGCACCTGCTGGAAGGTGATAATAAAAATAAAATTTGTGCATAGCTGATCGGACAAAGGTCAACGGAAAAGCAAGTTTTGAGTCAAAATATCAGCTCAATGGATCATAACAGAACAAATTTACAACATGTTAAACTTGCTTAATTTTTAAGTGTAGACTTGTGTGTATGTAATGAGAAGTCACCACCAACGTTTTTGAAGCAAAGTACACTTCTGCGTTGAAAATAATCCCTTAAAATAGTGTTCACTCAAGCCAGACAAAATACTAATTTTAATCTTCAGAGTTCTATAATTACTAGCATGTTGATATGGTCGGTGCTAAGTCAGAACTAAGCGACATTTTTTTTTTTTGATTTCGAGATAAACGAATTTAAAGTTGGCTGTACAATATTGTTTCTTATGTAATGGGAAAAATCATTTGGCCGTTTTCTCTTGCTACTCTAATTTTTCAAATCTGGCTGAAAAAGTGAAATGTAGCTGAGGGAATTCTTGATCTTATGATATCATTAACTCATTTTTTGTTTTTATTTTGCTACTTAGTCCCTTATGACTTAACGCCGACCATATGATCTTGTATAGTAAAATGTAGTTCTGTTTTACATTAAAAATCGTCCATTTATATTTTTACTGGTCTGAGTAAAAGTATTCTGAAGGGATTCTGAGTCTAATTTGGTGCAAATGCGCAATAAATTGTTTATTTTTCCACCAAATGGGCTGAAAGCTTCAGAGGCTTCAAAAATGTATTTTAGAAGATTAGCGCATAAGGACTTGTTGAAGGACACATAGTTCCAGAGATATTCCGGTATTATTTGGGGTGCTAACATGCTAACGGTATCCCAACTACCGCACACAGAAAAAAAAAAGTTGCTGCAACCAGGTCAATCCATCGGTTGTGTAGTATAACCATAGAGGTACCCGCATAATTAAATACCATTTCGATAACCGGTACGACTTTATCCCAACGGTTCGAATTGAGGTTACCATATTGATTATGGTTTCTGTATACTTGATTCATTACAGTAATAATGTAATTCAACTGTACAAGATATAGTTACCATATACAAAACCTTTATTAAATTGTTGCGTATACTCCTTAACCATAAGAAACTTTAACATTCCTGTTTTTTCAATGTGAACATTAAATGGAACTGTATGATAATGTTTTTCTATGGTTATAGACGAAATTGACCTGTTTCAGTGTAGTCCAATTTGGGTAAAGTAAACCTACATTTGAGTTATTTGTTCTTAGTGTGCAGCACTGCTTTCGCAGTTTTGATTCAGAATCAGAAAAGTTAGCCATTTTTGCGCAGTATTCAATTTGAAAAAAAAAACCATGTCGCCGAAGAAGAAAGCTGCTCGCGAGCATTATAAATCACGCAGCATTAAGCGTAGGTATTTTAAACTATTAACAATACATTTTTAATAATGAAATGTACATATTTTCCCACAGAACCAAGAAATGCACCCACGCTGGTCAATCGAAAATTAAACCTGCTGGAGGAGCGTGCAAATTCTCAAAATGGAGGGGAAATTAACGACGAAGTAAGTTTAAATAATTATAAGATAATTATGTCAAGTGTAACACCTTAATATGCTCGTTCTAGCTGCAGAAACTGCTAGCTGCGCATAATAAGCATAATAATACCGGATACGTCTTCGTTGCAGTGAAGCAGACGGAGATTCAGGGCCCCCCACAGAGGGTTGACGATCCATTAGAACCAAATCCGAAAACCATGTTCCCTGATGCTCAAACGGTGGACGAAGTTCATAGTTCTCCCTGCTCGGCAACTTGCACAGGGTTGATACGAAAATGGACTCATCAGAGGAAGATTTCTCAAGCTCGACACAAACATCAGGTAAGCTTAGAATTGTTTACTAAAAATATAGGTAAAAGATCGGATCCTCGCATGCAATGTGCGACACCGCAATGCCAGAAAGAAATACGTGTTTCGACCAAAGTGATTCTAATTTTCAACCTTTTTCTGTATTCACAGTGGTTAACGTGCCAACTCATCGATCCGAACCAATTCAACAAGTCAGGAATAATGAACTAGTAAATGCAGTTAATCTCTCAATCAATGCTGTGCCAAATGTAACACGTCCAGAATTACACGATCAGCATGACATGACTCTGGTTCAGATGTCATCAGAAGAAATACAACATTTACAAAACAGAATTCTGCTTCAGGAAATCCCGGTTACAAGACAGGCTACTAGTAACACCTGTTCACAGATAGTATTCAACATTCCAATGGTGCAGATCCCATCACAGCAAACCGAAGAAAATCCTGTAGAGTCCAACTTTCCCAAACCATTATCGCCCCAGCAGTTCGATACACCGCTGGCCACCGAGCTGGCCACAACAACCAATGGCGAGAAAGAAGAAACATCTCCCA